AGGCAACCCCCCGTAGAGAGCGTTGCAGTAGTCTAAACGGGATGTAACCAGAGCGTGGACTACCGTGGCCAATTCAGACTTTCCAAGGTACGGGCGCAGCTGGCGCACAAGCTTTAGCTGTGCAAATGCTCCCCTGGTCACCGCCGAAACCTGGGGTGCATATACACTTTGTAGGAGCAGTGCAGTTTGGCATCGCCTTCATTGCCATGGCTCTTTTTTTTTTAAGCATTTATTTATATATTTATCCATCAAAATGTATAAGTAAGTATTTATTTATTTATTTATTTACTTTGCTTATATACCGCTGTTCTCAGCCCGGGGGCGACTCACAGCGGCGTACAACATAGAAAAACAAGGTTCAGAATTCAATACAGAATCTAAAATATCAATCTAGCAGTAACCAAAAACATGAATATCAAAAACATCTAAAATATCAATAATACAAACAGCCATTCACGTCGTCTCATCGTTTGAACCACAATCCAGTATCATTTTCCGTTGTTCCATTCCTGTCGTCATTACCAATTATTGCACTTCTTGTTCGAACGCCTTCTTGAACAGCCAGGTCTTTAATTTCCTGTGGAATATCATCAGGGAAGGAGCCAGTCTGATGTCCACGGGAAGGGTGTTTCACAGCCGAGGAGCCACCAACGAGAAGGCCCTGTCTCTCGTCCCTGCCAGGCGTGCCTGTGAGGCAGGCGGGATCGAGAGCAGGGCCTCCCCGGACGATCTCAAAGTTCTTGTGGGCTCGTAGGCCGAGATGCGGTCAAATAGGTATCTAGGGCCGGAACCGTTTAGGGCTTTATAGGCCAAAGCCAGTACCTTGAATTGAGCCCGGTAGCAAATCGGCAGCCAGTGGAGCTGGTACAACAAGTGCGTTGTGTGCTCCCTGCGTCCCGCTCCTGTTAGTAACATGGCTGCCGCACGTTGGACCAATTGGAGCTTCCGGGCCGTCTTCAAGGGCAACCCCACGTAGAGAGCGTTGCAGTAATCTAAGCGGGATGTAACCAGTATACATCCTTTCCCCTTTTTACAGCATATTGTCCAATTCTGGGCACCACAATTCAAGAGAGATATTGACAAGCTGGAATGTATCCAGAGGAGGGCGACTAATATGATCAAGGGTCTGGAGAACAAAACCTATGAGGAGCGGCTTAAGGAACTGGGCATGTTTAGCCTGAAGAAGAGAAGGCTGAGAGGAGATATGATAGCCATGTATAAATATGTGAGAGGAAGCCACAGGGAGGAGGGAGCAAGCTTGTTTTCTGCTTCCCTGGAGACTAGGACGCAGAAAAATGGCTTCAAACGACAAGAGCGGAGATTTATCCACCTCTCCCCAGATTCGAACCCTCAACCTGTCGGTCTTCAGTCCTGCCAGCACAGCTGGTTTAATCCACTGCGCCACCAGGGGCTCCTATGTTTTGTGTGTCCCCTCGGGGAGATGGAGCGGTATATAAATAAAGTTGTATTATTATTATTATTATTATTATTATTATTCAGGGTATAGGATTACAGCCTGTGTTGGACGGGGTTACACTCCCCCTGAAGACGCAGGTTCGCAGCTTGGGTATGATCCTGGACTCATCGCTGAGCCTGGAACCCCAGGTTTCGGCGGTGACTAGGGGAGCATTCGCACAATTAAAACTTGTGCGCCAGCTGCGCCCGTACCTTGGGAAGTCTGACATGGCCACGATAGTCCACGCGTTGGTTACATCCCGTATAGATTACTGCAACGCTCTCTACGTGGGGTTGCCTAGGAACAGGCCTGTAGCGAGGGGGTGGTTTTAGGGGTTCAACCCCCCCCGAAATGTTTCAGATTTTTTTTTTAAAAAAACCTAGTTTACTCATGAATTTTAACTGGTTAACCAAATCCCCATGCTAAGTCTATGAGATGCAAAAAATTAAGAGTCCCTCCAGAACTGTAAGCACTATCTCAAGCAAATATTGACAATTTATTCACACTGTCATTACTTGCAGCAATAGCCGATGTAGTGAAGCAACCAAGTTGTGTGTGTGTGTGTTAAATGCTCTCATTAAGGAGGCCAGACTTGGTGGAGGTGGTTGACAGGGGTGGAGCTGCAGGCTATTGAAGGTTGCTCTGCCCCTGCTGTGCTCTTTGCTTCAGCGTGAGCTAGGAGGCAGGTTTCACCCCCCCCCCCCGAAATTTTCAACCCTCCCTGAAATTTTCAACCCCCCCCCCAAATTTTCAACCCCCCCCCCCCCCAAATTGTCAACCCTCCCCGAAATTTTTGCCCGTACCTTGGGAAGTCTGACTTGGCCACGGTAGTCCATGCACTGGTTACATCCCGTATAGATTACTGCAACGTTCTCTACGTGGGGTTGCCTTTGAAGACGGCTTGGAAGCTACAAATGGTCCAACGATCGGCAGCCAGGTTGTTACCAGGAGCGGCACTCAGGGAGCACACCACTCCTCTGTTGCGCCAGCTCCACTGGCTGCCAATTTGCTACCGGGCACAATTCAAAGTGCTGGCTTTAGCCTTTAAAGCCCTAAACGGTTCTGGCCCGACCTATCTGTCCGAACGCATCACCCCCTATGAACCAGTTAGGACATTAAGATCGTCCGGGGAGGCCCTGCTCTCGATCCCGCCAGCCTCACAAGCACGGCTGGCAGGGACGAGAGACAGGGCCTTCTCAGTGGTGGCCCCTCGGCTGTGGAACGCCCTTCCCGCAGACATTAGATCGGCCCCCTCCCTGCTGGCGTTCAGGAGAAGAGTGAAGACCTGGCTCTTTGAACAGGCGTTTAATTAAGCAGTGCAATTAATTGATTGATCTTGGAACTTGGAATAATGGACAAGGAGATCGGATTATGACTTCACTGATGAGACGTGATGTACTAGTTATATGGATGTATTGATGTTATATTGATGTATTGTCATATTGATGTAGTTGCCTAGTTATTGTTTTAATGCTAATGTTGTGCACTTTGTATATTGACTTGGTTGTAAACCGCACTGAGTCGCCTACGGGCTGAGAGAGAGCGGTATACAAATAAAGTAAATAAATAAATAAAATTCAGATGTGTGGAAGAGACTTCTGCCTTTTCCGAGATTCTCCGACTTTAAAAAAAAAGGCTCAGCCACTCAATGCTGTTGAACTACAACTCCCAGCCATGCTCTCGAGAAGAATCGGTAACGAGGGATGCTGACAGTTGAAGTGCGACAACGCCCAAAAGGCTGCCTAGTCGTTTTTGAGTTCTCTCCAAACGTTGGGCCTCCAGGTGTTTAGGCCTTCAACTCCCAGAAGCCCCGGCCGGCTTGGAGAAGGGCTAGGAATTCTGGGAAATGAAGTCCAAAGACCTGAAGATGGTTGTATTAGGAGGCTATAATGTAGGGAGCAAGTGTAAGTAGATTCTAGGTTGCTGGGAAAGAAGGGAAGCGCGCGCTGGTCATCCGGGACACCGCCTTCCAGTGAGACGGGGGGCGGAGGGGGGAGAGAGCGCGATCGAGTGATGTCTGCCTCCTCCATCCGGGTCCCTTCTCCTTCCGTGCTACGCGAGGGAAGTTGTCAGGAGAGCTCGGCCGGGCAGGGAGGAGGAGGAGGAGCCCTGAGGAGAATCCAAAGCCTGCTTTTCTCTGCTCTCCCAGAGAGAAGGCCCCGAAGCAGCCTCGAAGGTACCGCCAAATTCTCGCGGTCGGGTAAGGGAAGGGATTGCCTAAGAGAAGCCCGAGCTGGGGCCTGGGCGCCTCCAAAGCCATGGCTCAGGAGGGATGATGTAGGCCTGTTTGTGAAGAACCACAGGGTCGGGGCGGAGTTGTTTGCCTCCAGCTCCCTTCCCAGCATGGAGCCCATTGTGGTGCAGCTCTCGGTTTGGCACCTCATGAAGGGACGCCGTGTACAGGTGGTGTCCCTTATACACATTTCTTGGAGGGAAAACTTTCTTAAACCGTGTATTTGTGGTTCCTTGCTCCGTCCTGGGAATCTATATAAATAAAAAAATGTAATGTTCGTTTGTGGGATTGACAGAACTCAAAAACTACTGGACGAATTGACACCAAATTTGGACAGAATACGCCTAACAACCCAATGTATGTCCTTCACTAAAAACAATCGATTTTGTCATTTGGGAGTTGTAGTTGCTGGGATTTATAGTTCATCTACAATCAATGAGCATTCTGAACCCCACCAACGATGGAATTGAACCAAACTTGGCACACAGTTCTCCCATGACCAACAGAAAATACTGGAAGGGTTTGGTGGGCAGTGTCCTTTGGTTTTGAAGTTGTAGTTCACCTACATCCAGAGATCACTGTGGACTGAAACAATGGTGGATCTGGACCAAGCTCTACACGAATACTCAATATGCCCAAATGTGAACACTGGTGGAGTTTGGGGGAAATAGAATCTTGAAATTTGGGAGTTGTAGTTAATGGGATTTATAGTTCACCTACAATTAAAGAGCATTCTGGATCCCACAAATGACAGAATTGGGGCAAATTTCCTACACAGAAGCCCGAGATGGTTCATGGAGGGAGATACTATCACGAAGGTAGCCATGTCCCAAACCATTTAGGGCTTTGTAGGTGATAACCTGCACCTTGAATTGGGACCGGAAAATAAATGGCAGCCAGTGGAGCTCCTTAAACAGGGGGGTCGTCCCAGTTATTGATCTGGCTGCCGAACGTTGGACAAGTTGTACTTTCCGGGCCGTCTTCAAGGGTAGCCCCACATAGAGAGCATTACAGTAATCCAGTCTAGAGGTAAGTAAGGCATGGACCACCATGGTCAAGTCAGACTTGACGAGGGTTTTTTTTTTTTTGGTCGTGTCAGGAGCGACTTGAGAGACTGCAAGTCACTTCTGGTGTGAGAGAATTGGCCGTCTGCAAGGACGTTGCCCAGGGGACGCCCAGATGATTTGATGTTTTTATCATCCTTGTGGGAGGCTTCTCTCATGTCCCCGCATGAGGAGCTAGAGCTGATAGAGGGAGCTCATCCGCCTCTCCCCGGATTTGAACCTGCGACCTGTTGGTCTTCAGTCCTGTCGGCACAGGGGTTTAACCCACTGCGCCACCAGGGGCTCCACTTCACGAGGTAAGTTCGCTGTTGGCACACGAATTTTAGTTGTGCAAAGGGAAGGCCCCTTCCACACAGCCCTGTAAAATCTAGATTGAATTAGATTATATGGCAGTGTGGACTCCAATAATAATAATAATAATAATAATAATAATAATAATAATAATAATCTTTATTTATACCCCGCCATCATCTTTGTGGCTGCCACAAACTATGTTGAATTGGTTGAGATTCAGATGAGATACTGATTGAAAGGCTATAGCAAAATGTGCTGTAGGAGGTCCCCCAAAATCAAAGTTTTGGCAGTTTAATAAACTTTTTTCCCTTTTTCATGATAGAACCAATAAGAAAATGGCGTTTATAACCAGGAACAAAAATAGTATTACAAAGTGTTGTTATTGTTATCATTATGATCATTAAAATAACAAACTCATATATTACGTATTTTGTATTTACATACTGGAAAGAAAGAAACATACAATACCATAAGATACAAAGAAGACACACACAAACAAAGCAAACATTACTTAATCCAAGTAAAAAATACATACAAAGGCACTACCTCCTTCCCTCCCTTTCTTGCTTTCCATTTGGCAAAAGTAGAAACTTTTACCAACACTTATTTTTGTTTGCAGAGATTACTTATTTCTTAAAATATGTCTCTACATTCCTCTGCTCTTTGCACACCTTGCTTTAGAGAGCTTCCCTTCATTATCATAGTTAATTTGTCCATTTCCATGGCTTCTCATAATTTCGGTTGCCAGTCATTGTTTCCTCTTCATCTGGTAAAGAAGTGACTGGGCCTGCTTCTGTTCAACATCTTTAGTAATGACTTAGATGAAGGATTAGAAGGCATGATCATCAAGCTTGCAGACGACACCAAATTGGGAGGGCTAGCCAACACCCCAGAAGACTGGAACAGAATTCAAAGCAATGTTAACAGATTAGAGAGATGGGCCAAAACTAACAAAATGAAATTCAACAAATGCAAGATACTCCACCTAGGAAGAAAAAAAAATGAAATGCAAAGATATAGAAGGGGGATGCCTGGCTCGACAACAGTACATGTAAAAAAGATCTTGGAATCCTTATGGAGCCAACTGAGTAAAAAAAACCCAATGGAATGTTGGCCTTCATAAATAGTATAGTGTCTAGATCTACGGAAGTCATGCTACCACGCTATACTACCTTGATCAGACCACACCTGGAATACTGCGTCCAATTCTGGCTACCACAATTGAAGGGGAGATGTTGACAGGTTGGAATGTGTCCAGAGAAGGGTGACTAAAATGATCAAGGTTCTGGAGAACAAGCCCTATGAGGGGCGAGTTAAAGAGCTGTGCATGTTTGGCAAGCAGAAGAGAAATCTGAGAGGGGACATGATAGCTATGTATAAATGTGTGAGGGGAAGTCATAGGGAGGAGGGAGCAAGCTTGTTTTCTGCTGGCCTTGAGACTAGGACACGGAACAATGGCTTCAAACGACAGGAAAAGAGATTCCACCTGAATATTAGGAAGAACTTCCTAACTGTGAGAGCTGTTCAGCAGTGGAACTCTCTGCCCTGGAATGTGGTAGAGGCTCTTTCCTTGGAGGCTTTTGAACAGAGGCTGGGTGGCCATCTTGCCGGGGGTGCTTTGAATGTAATTTTCCTGCTTCTTGGCAGGGGGGTTGGGACTGGATGGCCCACAAGGTCTCGTTCAAGTCTATGATTCATAGATGGAAGTTACTTCAGATATTTTCCACTTTTTTGCTAATACTATCCTTTCTGTTGCAATCATATACATAATTATTCTTCTAGGTTCTTTTGTTTGTACAGGGTGAGGCAGCATAACTTCCTTTTTTCAAAACTTAATAAAACCTATTGTATGAATCAGATTTTTTTATATAATGTAGGCGCGTACCTAAAGTTTTGTTTTACGTAGTTTTGAAGATCAAATTAGGTAGATGATGTCCCCCATTCTCCATTCTCCATACACTGAGTAAACCGATTTCTGGCATTTGTCATGACTCTTGCCAGCATAGCAGGCATTATGTTGGCAATTTCTTCCTGGATGTTGGTCTTCAAATCTTGTAGGGTCCTTGGATGGTTCACATAAACATGGGATTTCAAAAAAAACCATAGAAAAAATCACAAGGGGCCAAATCTGGAGAGCGGGGCCAACCACTCCAAATCAGCTCGAAAAGTAGGCCTCAATGGCAGAAGCACGCTCCTCACTGTTCCAACGCATGAACAAATAGCTCAAATAGTTAGTGCAATTAATGTAATGAACATAGGAATGGAACAATGGATGACGGATCTGGATCATGTTTTTAGTGATGAGACGCTAACGAATGGCTATTGGTGTTAATTGTATATTAATTCTATAATATGTTAAGATGTTAACTGTTTTTTATTCTGTGTTATGGTAGCATGGAATTTCTGCTGTTCTTGTTGTGAACCGCTGTGAGTCGCCTAAGGGCTGAGAACAGCGGTATACAAATAAAGTAAATAAATAAATAAATGATGGCGACTGAACTGTGTCGAACGAGACTACTAGCGCTCAGTTATGTCTTCAACCGACTGAATGGTGCACATTTTAAAAAAAGGAAGTTATGCTGCCTCACCCTGTACATCTGTCATGTTGAAAAGATACAGCTGCAGCATTATATTGCGCATTTAATTACAGATGGAGTTTCCTTGCCCAGAATGCTTGGGGTTAGAAGTGATAATTCTTATAACGATAAGTGATAAGTCGCTTTGATCCGCTCTGGTCTGGATACCATATTAACGGCAGTCTCTGAGGATGTAACACGAGCATCTGCTTGGTTTTGATGGATTCATTTCAATTGGTTCAATCCGAGGATGTGGACAAGGTGCTTGGAGGAATGAGAGCTACCACATGCATCCTAGACCCCTGCCCATCCTGGCTTCTGAAGGAGGCCAGAGGGGGATTGGCCGAGTGGGTGAAGGTGGTGGTTAATGCCTCCCTTTGGGAAGGCATATTTCCAGCCAGCTTAAAGCAAGCTGTGATAAAACCGCTGTTGAAAAAACCATCACTGGACCCCACTCAATTCGTCAACTATCGGCCTGTTTCCAATCTCCCCTTCTTGGGCAAAGTCCTGGAACGTGTGGTGGCCTCACAACTCCAGGCATTCTTGGTAGACACGGATTATCTGGACCCGGCACAGTCTGGCTTTAGGCCGGGGCATGGTACCGAGACAGCTTTGGTCGCCTTAGTCGATGATCTGCGCCGGGAGCTCGACAGGGGGAGTGTGTCCCTGTTGGTGCTGCTGGACCTCTCAGCGGCCTTCGATACCGTCGACCACGGTATCCTTCTGGGACGCCTCGCGGGGATGGGTCTTGGAGGTACTGTTCTGCAGTGGCTCCGCTCATTCCTCGAGGGTCGGTCTCAGAAGGTGTTACTGGGAGACTCCTGTTCAACCCCACAACCTTTGTCTTGTGGGGTTCCTCAGGGTTCAATACTGTCTCCCATGTTGTTTAACATCTACATGAAGCCACTGGGTGAGATCATCCGGAGTTTCGGGGTGCGATGTCATTTGTACGCAGATGATGTTCAACTCTGTCACTCCTTCCCACCTGTCACTAAGGAGGCTGTCGAGGTCCTGAACCGGTGCTTGGCCGCTGTGACGGTCTGGATGGGGCGAACAAATTGAAATTGAATCCAGACAAGACAGAGGTACTCCTGGTCAGTCGCAAGGCCGAACAGGGTATAGGGTTACAGCCTGTGTTGGATGGGGTCGCACTCCCCCTGAAGACGCAGGTTCGCAGTTTGGGTGTGATCCTGGACTCATCGCTGAGCCTGGAACCCCAGGTTTCGGCGGTGACCAGGGGAGCATTCGCACAGTTAAAACTCGTGCGCCCACTGCGCCCGTACCTTGGGAAGTCTGACTTGGCCACGGTAGTCCACGCTCTGGTTACATCCCGTTTAGACTACTGCAACGCTCTCTACGTGGGGTTGCCTTTGAAGACGGCTCGGAAGCTCCAATTAGTCCAACGGTCGGCAGCCATGATACTAACTGGAGCGGAGCGCAGGGAGCACACAACTCCTCTGCTGCACCAGCTCCACTGGCTGCCGATTTGCTACCGGGCTCAATTCAAAGTGCTGGCGTTGGCCTTTAAAGCCCTAAACGGTTCTGGCCCAACCTACCTATCCGAACGTATCTCGGCCTATCAGCCCACCAGGACCCTAAGATCTTCTGGGGAGGCCTTGCTCTCTATCCCGCCTGCTTCACAGGTGCGGCTGGCGGGGACGAGAGACAGGGCCTTTTCTGTGGTGGCCCCTCGGCTCTGGAACGCCCTTCCCATGGAGGTAGATCAGCCCCCTCGCTGATGGTGTTCCGAAGAAGATTAAAAACCTGGATGTTCGGACAGGCATTTGGTTAATTTCGGTGCAATGAATGTGATGATTAAAGGATTGGTAATATGGACGACGAAACTGGATCACGATTTTAGTCAGGAGATGCTTTGGATTGTGATTTATGTGAAATATTGTGTATTATGTTTTTTACGGTTTTAATTGTATACTGTGTACTGTATATTCTGTTGTAAACCGCGTTGAGTCGCCAGTTAGGCTGAGAAACGGCGGTATACAAGGACAGTAAATAAATAAATAAATAAATAAATAATTATTATTAATAATGTACAAAATTACCTTCCGGTTATGTGTATAAGGTGCATATGAAATATACATTAATTAATTTCATTTTTTCATAATACATTTTATTTATTGCCTGCCTCTCCTGATGTCTTGAGGTGTACATATAAGTCAAGTCAAAATGTGAACATAAAATACATACAACAAAATGCAGAGATAAAAATACACCAATATAAAAAAACATATACCAAGCACATATACAAAATTAACATATAGCTGCAATAGAATGTAAATCAAAACTCATGATTAAACGTTGACTCAATAGGCCTTCCGGAAGAGATGATTCTTAAATTTCGTTTAACTATTAGAGCTTTTCTGGCAGGTCGTTCCACAGTCGTGGGGCAGCCAATGAAAGTTTAGACTTTGATCCCATTCCAGGTGATCCCGCCATGTACATAAACGCAAATATTGGTGTTCCAAAATCCAAACCCCTTCTGTCCCAAGCATGTTAGCACCTGGTGTATCTATATCCCATGGAGTTAATGCACATGCTCCATTCAGCACCTGTTTACCACAATTTGGCAGATGTTAACCCTTCCTGGGGTGGAGTAAGGTATGACTAAAATGCAAGTCTTCAATTTAAGGGACATTTGTTTCCCTAATTTTGCTTGTGGTAAATCTTATTTATCACAGGTTGTCTGGGAAGTCACAACTTTTCTGTGGCTTAATCCCATGTGGTAGGCTGAAGTGAGGTAATCAGTGAAGACAATATAGAAACCCTGAAAATGCTCAGAGACATTGAGCTTAATAAGTGTTCTTTGACTCAGCTTAATAACTGGAAAGTGTTAAAGTTAGACTTAAGCTTAGCTATTGGACTTACTGAGCCCTGTTGGACAATCTTCTGACTCTACCTAATCCACTCAATTAGGTTGTTATATGAATAAAATGGGATTAAATTATACATGCCTTCATGAGTAAGTGGAGGAAGAATTGGACATTGCCTTTTTTCCTCACTGTATTATATATTGGTATATATTGAATTTTAATTTCATATATAGATTCCATTGTCGGCGCATTCTTTTTAGTCAGCCTGATATTATCTCTTTGGTTTTGAGACGTTTGAGGAATTAAATGGTTTACATTTCTATTAAAACCATTTATGAATGTTTTATTTCATCATGTAAATTGCTTTTTACAACTGGAAAGATTGTAGATACTTTAAATTTAACATCTGCCTACCTGATAAATATATCGGTTTTATGGCTTGGCTGTTAAACTATGAGCTTTTAAATATAGTTTTTTCCCCTGATTAGTAGGATTATCTTCTATAGAACAGAAGATACAGAAAAATAATTGAAATGATTTTCTTATGTGTATTTTCTTTCAGGAGGTCTCATAACTGACAAAAAATGGAAGAAGAAATAAGTCAGATGGAGCCCTGTGATGAAAATCAGGTGCCAAATTCTGAAGGTGGATATGTGTGGCAGGTTACTGACATGAATCGATTGCACCGTTTTTTGTGTTTTGGTTCTGAAGGAGGCACTTACTATATCAAGGAACAAAAATTGGGCTTTGAAAATGCTGAGGCTCTACAGAGACTTATTGAAGATGGCAAAGGGTGTGAAGTGGTGCAAGAAATAAAGACGTTCAGTCAAGAAGGCAGAGCAGCAAAACAGGAGCCTGTCTTACTGGCACTTGCTATTTGCTCACAGTGCTCTGATACAAAAACAAAACAAGCAGCTTACAAGGCCGTCTCTGACGTCTGTCGCATCCCAACCCATCTCTTCACTTTCATCCAGTTTAAAAAGGATCTGAAGGAGGGCATGAAGTGTGGAATGTGGGGTCGTGCCCTAAGAAAAGCTGTTGCTGATTGGTATAATGAAAAGAATGACATGGCTATTGCCTTAGCGGTGACAAAATACAAGAAAAGAAATGGTTGGTGTCATAAAGATCTTCTTCGATTGTCTCATCTAAAACCTGCAAATGAAGGTAATGAAATGTTTAGAAATATTAACACAGTAATAGATGTCTGCCTTGAGCAATAATGTCTGTTAGAGTGATTGGACAAGGGAAAGGAAAGCAGAGCTTTGAAAAAGTATTTGTTGGGATAGCTAGGCAACTTGGCTGGGGGATCCTGGAAATTGTAGTTCAAAAAGAATTCTAAGCTAAATGAGGGAGGAAGCCTACATAAAACAGGAATTATTTTTGCCAGATAGTATCCTGACATTTCATTAATGAATAGACTGTTATCAATATTTATGTGTTTTAATCATATTTCAAATTCAGGTGTTTAGGTAGTGTGACACTGATTTTTCCAATAACTTTAACGATAATAGAAACAGAAATTGGCATATCAATATAAAGTTAAATTTGAGTGAAAGGAAGCTAGTCAGTTTAAAAAGTGACCAGAAAAATTAGCACATATGATTCTAAGTTGATAAATTTATATGTTGGGTTGTTGTAGGTTTTTTCGAGCTATATGGCCATGTTCTAGAGGCATTCTCTCCTGACGTTTCGCCTGCATCTATGGCAAGCATCCTCAGAGGTAGTGAGGTCTGTTGGAACTAGGAAAATGGGTTTATATATCTGGAAAGACCAGGGTGGGACAAAGGACTCTTGTCTGCTGGAACTAGGTGTGAATGTTTCAACTGACCACCTTGATTAGCATTTGATAGCCTGGAAGTGCCTGGAGCAATCTTTTGTTGAGATGTGTTTAGATGTCCCTGATAGTTTTCCCTCTGCTGTTTTGCTGTTTTAATTTTAGAATTTTTTTTAATACTGGTAGCCAGATTTTGTTCATTTTCATGGTTTCCTCCTTTCTGTTGAAATTGTCCACATGCCATGGTTTAATATTATGGAATCCTGGGAATTGTAGTTTGGTAAGGAAACAACACTCTTTGCCAGAGAAGGCTAAAGACTTGTAAAACAGCTCCCAGTATTCCATAGCATCAAGCTATGACAGCTAAAGTCATGTCAAACTGCATTCAATCTACAGTCTAGATGTACCCACAGAAATAAAGCAGATGTATAGCCTGGAGGTTATTAGCATGCTAGTGATACCATTCCTCAGATACCTAAATCAGCCATCCAATGGTTTTATGTAGAAAAATCTGGAAGGCAAGGCAGAAGCTGAACATCACAATAATTTTCTTGGTGAAAAGGAACAACCTCCCTCTATCAAATTCTGGGACACTTTCATAGAATACATATGGAAACATTGTATTCTATGAACATACCCTAGAATTGTGTCTAACTCCCAAACACCCTGATAACCAAGAAACTCTCAAGAAGAATCGGTAGCGAGGGATACTGGGAGTTAAAGTGCAACAGCGACTGAAAGGCTGTCTAGTCGTTTTTGCGTTCTCTCAAAACATTGATCCTCCAGGTGTTTGGACTCCCAGAAACCCTGGCCAGCTTGTAAAAGGGCTAGGAATTCTGGGAAATGAAGTCTAAAAAACTGAAGATGTGGGAAATGCTGGTTCTATTAGGCTGATAACTCTAGCGCTCGAGGAAGCTACAATGTAGGGAGCAAGTGTAAGTACATTCTGGGTTGCTGGATTCTAGGTTGCTGGGAAGCACACGCTGGTCAGGAGAGTTACATAAAGCTAGAAAGTATCCTCGTGTTTTCCTGGGAGTTTCAAAGCAAATATATTTTAAAAGGCTTTGGGTGTTCATTTAATTGCACAGGAAAACTCTTTGCTTTACCAGTTCCCATTAGTTATGAATTCAAGGCAAAATTAATCTAGAAATCAACTATTTAGAGGCTTTTACATTCACATTATTTTAAAATACTGTAAATATATTGTGATGCTTTGATGTTAATAATAAGAATGCAAAACAGTTTGGGAAGATATGCTTCTGTCCACATTTTTTTTAATTCTGCTATTCTGCAACAGTTCTTGAATAGAATTGTTTGTCTTTTAACAGGCCTTGCAGTAGTCACTAAGTATGTCATGAAAGGGTGGAAAGAGGTCCAAGAAGCTTATAAAGATGACAAATATTCTGCTGAAACTGAAAAACTGCTGAAGTATTTGGAGGCAGTGGAGAGGGTGAAACATACAAAGGATGAATTGGAAGTGATTCATTTGATAGAAGAATTCAATCTAGTTAGGGAACACCTCCTGACAAGTCATTTGAAATCTAAAGAGGTAAGTACATTATTATGTATTGCACATAATATAAGTGAAAATGCATAATAAAAGTGAAAATGTGTGTATGTGGCGGAGGTGTCCACTTACACCAGTGGTTCTCAACCTGGTGTCCCCAGATGTTTTTGGCCTTCAACTCCCAGAAACTGGCTTTCTCAAGGGACCCAGGCATTGCCGGGTCTCCAAGCTAGTAATTAATGCTTTGCATTGTTTGTGTTTAATTCTGTTTTAATTTTTGTATATGTGTATATTTTAAATTCTGTACTAATGTTTTTTTGGGGGTTTTTTGTCAAGCTGCTCATGTCTCATTAAGAGCCCCATCCACTGTTTTAGCGTGGGGAGATGTGTTCCACACTGGGCATGCATACTCAGCAGCAGAGTAGCATAGCGCAAGGGCAGATGTCTTCACTGTGTGTGGTTGTGATCCCCAGGTTGTGCCAGTCAGCTTTCGTATGATATTGTTTCTAGAACCCACTTATTGCTTGATATTCAGGCAGTGCTTCTTGTTCTTCTTCACTCTGTACAAGGTATGGAAAGCATTGCTACAGGAGATGCCCTTAACAGCAATGCTGAGGAATCTAGGGAAGATGACAGCAAATTCTGTTCTTGAACCAGGAAGTCCAGAAGTAACTATAGTTTGTGAAAGATTAAGAAATGAAAAACTTCTTAAAAAGGTAATTATTTCTGTTTTTTTTTATAACACATGCATTCTATTAATTCAAAATGTTGGTCTTCTAGTAATAAAAGCAATGCTGAATTTTAATTTGAAAGTGATAACATTACTTTTTATTTTTGCTTACAAAACTTATTAATGAGAAGGGTGTTGGTTATGCTAAGGACATGGATTTGAAAGTCCCAACTCTGTGATCTTTGGAATTAGATGAGAATGCAAATTAATGGAAACAAAACTTCTGTGCTAGCTTCCCCTAATATTGGAAGTACTACAAAATATCATGCAAAATTTCTACTATATTATTAGCAGGATCATTAAGGAAATATTATTTTAGAAAAATGGCAGTGTAGAGAATTTGACACTATGACTTTTGTCACCATTCAATAGCATTGTAAGATACTGTTTTTATAGAAGAATAGAAACATTCACTGGGGAAAATATTTTTATGGGATCTTTCAATTCCAGACAGAACTGGAAATATATGATCCATGCAGAAAGGATGCTTAGAACATGTAACTTAGCTTTCATAATCTAAAAAAGAAATTTCTATATAAAAGTCATAGGCCTTGCATATGATTAATCAAAACTACAGCTGTAAAGAGAAATGTTTTTAATTATTTCAGTTTCTTTTGTACATTAGATAACAACAAAAACAATAACAATACTAAAATTGTTTTGAAAAGAACTTGTATTTTTTTTCAAGGCTCGAATACATCCATTCCATATTCTGGTTGCTCTAGAAACATATAAAGGGGAACGTGGCTATCGAGGAAAACTTCGTTGGCAACCTGACAAAGATATTTTGGAAGCTCTTGATGCTTCATTTTACAAGACCTTTAAGGTAACTATTGTGAGTGTGTTGATACAGAAATGTACACTTTTTCAAACATCATGTTGATTTTAAGATTTTTCCCTGTCTGAAATACAGTATGATGCAACTTTGAAACTGTACTTAACATCAAAACCTATTGAAATGAGGGGTTCCTGCCTGAAGAATACCATAGTATCACACTGGGAGTCCTCAAAATGCCTAGAGAGAATGCATTTTGTCATATGTGGATAAATAAAACCTTAGATACCAATCTCGTGGATATGCAGGATCATACTGCATATCCAGCATAGATCTTCAATTTTTGAAGTCTTTGCTTAGACAAGTATGGGCTGGTTCTGTCAGAAGTATTGAAAGTTGGTAATAAAGACTTGAAAGAAGACTATCGATTGCTAAAAAACCCCATGGAAAACAAATATTTATCATCTAAAGCAGTGGTCATGTCGGAATCACAGATGCCTAAGGGTCAGAGTTAGTTCCAAAACAGAGTTTATTAAACAAAGGAAAAAGACTCAGAGACACTTAACTCAATTCTTCTGGTCAAAACACAAAGGTAAAACCAGGCCTGGTTCAAAAAGGTTAACCAAAGTATAATCGGGATTATCCGGAGAAAAGAACCAGATTAAACCAGTACTCCGAAAGTCACACAAAACGGCACAGCATGCAAATGGTTAACAAACAGAGAAGCCTCAGGGAAGAAAGCGTAGTCAAGTGAAGTCCAGGGTCGTAGCAAGTAGAATCTGAAGTAGCAAAGTCCACAGAAGCAGTGTCGTAGTCAAACCGGTCCAAGGTCAAGAAAGGGGGAAATCCACACTCACGAGAATCCAAGTCGAAAGCATACACGAACAGGAGCAGCAACCTGCAGATCCCAAACCCAAAGCCGAACACGGAACAGGCTGCAACAAGTCCAAACAGTACCCACTGCACAAACGTATACCAACACCTTGCCTTCTGCAAAGATTCATAATTTCTGAACCTACTTTTATCTTACACATCATCACCAGAAGATGAGCTGATCTCTGCCCCATCATTATCCCTTGCAGCTGTTCTTGACTCCACATGTGAATTCCTACTCTCATCTCTCCATCTTCTCCATCTTCTGTCAAGACTTAGATCCCCCCCAAGACTCAGATGTATTCCCCAATTGCCAGTCCTCATTACCAGAAAACCCTACAAATGTATCACTAGATGTCGGCTCCGCACGTACAGCTTGTACCTCTTTTAACTTAGTCCAGTCCAATGTGCCATCCCCATTTTCATCACTCCTTGACTCATCACCCCTAGAGAAACCAACAAATGATTCCTCATCTGTAGGAGCAGTAGGTATATCCCAGATCCTCTTCCTCTGTTACTCCTCATCGGACTCCTGTTTCCGAGTAGCCCTTTTCCTTCCCTTAGACCAATCCATGATGTCTCCTTCCTCTTCTTCACTTGTTGACCCATCATCCCCAGAGAAACCTTCAAATGAGTCCTTGTCTGTAGGAGCCGGATCCTCTTCCTCTGCTGTTCGTCATCAAACTCTTGCTCTCGAGTAACCCTTTTTCCCCTTCTAGCACCCAAACCACTGTTTGCAACGTTACTCGCAGGCTCTACTACAACAGGTCATCAAACTTTGTAAATATAGGGCCAGTTCACGTAATTCAGACTGTTGGAGGACCGGACTATAGTTTGGAAAAAAAAGTGAATGCATTACTATGCACACTGCACATATCTTACTTGTAATGCAAAAAACAAAACAAAAAACAAAAAAAAACATGAATGAACAACACCATATTTAAAATGAAAAACCATTTTAACCAACATAAACTTACCAGTATTTTAGTGGGAAGTGTGGGATTGTTTTTGGCTGATGAGATAGTCAGGTTAACTAGGATTGCTGTTGTGTGCCTTCGTTTCAGACTTAGAGTAACCCTAAGTCAAAAGTTTAGGGTGGGGCTCAGGTAAATGACCTTGGAGGGCTGCATCCGACCCACCGGCCTTAGTTTGAGGACCCTTATCTAAAGCTTCAAGAGCTTTCTACTGTCTTAATAATTTTTTCCCTGATTTTCCCTTTTATCTTCTATTTTAGACAGTAGAGCCAACCGAGAAGCGTTTCTTGCTTGCAGTTGATGTCAGTGCTTCTATGTCCCAAAAAGTTTTGGGCAGCGTGCTGAATGCTAGCACAGTTGCTGCAGCAATGTGTATGGTAAGAGATGTTACAAGCTTGCCAGGTTGTCTCTATCTGAATTTGAAAGTGGGAGTGACTTTGTGTCCTTTCAGCCAAAGGATGCTTTCTGTGTTCAAACATAGATTGTCATATCAGAAAACTGTATTAAGGATGTCTTTCCTTATGATTTAAAAAAGATAAGACAAGGTTAGGAAAATATAAAGATTAAAGGAAAACTTTGATAAATGTTCTTCAGGAGCAATGTTCAGACATATTCATTGCTCCCCACCTGTTTCATCATGTCAAAATGGAATTTTCTGAAAGTGTGCTGATAATCCTACACATTTTCAAGAAGATGGTGTCCCTTATTTCCCAATTCCTAGGATAATACATGTTTTCTAGACTTAGGCTGTGGGATTCAAATGTCTTTGAGCTTGGGAATATTTTGTGAAAGGATGGCATCTATTTCCTCTCCCTGTTTCCCACCTTGCCTGTAATTTCAACTATGTTGCTCTTCCACTATTTATGCTCATTTCCCTCAAAATCTGGCACATTTTCATTTGTCCAACTGGGAACAAAGTGCCTTTGGAGCTTGCTCAGTCCTCCTCTGCGAGAGCAGTATGTTTGGGCCAAGATGGGGGCAGTTTTAGAATCTGCTAAGGCAAGACAAAAAAGAACTGTCAAAAACTTCAGCAATACCAAAATGAGGCCAACTACAAGGTTTTGAGAGTGTGTGATAGGGTTTTGGGAAGGGTAGAAAAGGCAAGTAGAAGAAATGTGAAAGGAGGGGATTGTATAACCAGAGACTTATCATTTGATTTTTCATTTTTTTAAAAAAGAAACAAAACCTATCAAAAACATAATAGCTGTATTTTTTCTTTTGTTTGATGTTTTTCTTCAGCTTGTTGCACGTACTGAAAAAGATTCACATATTGTTGCCTTTTCCCATGAAATGGTCCCCTGTCCGGTAACTGAAGATATGACATTATCTCAAGTGTTGCAGAAAATGTGTGAGGTATCTAAAACTTCTGTTTTGTTTAAACTGTAATTTTATATGCATAAATAATTTTAAAATATTGAGGTGCAAAAAGGAAATAACTTTGCATAACCTTTTCACTCATTTAGTATATATTTTCTCAATGGAGATTCTTTTGTATTGTCAAAGGCTTTAATGGCTGGAATCACTAGGTTCTTGTGGGTTTTTTCGGGCTATATGGCCATGTTCTAGAGGCATTTTCTCCTGTCGTTTCGCCTGCATCTATGGCAAGCATCCTCAGAGGTAGTGAGACCTCACTACCTCTGAGGATGCTTGCCATAGATGCAGGTGAAACGTCAGGAGAAAATGCCTCTAGAACATGGCCATATAGCCCGAAAAAACCCACAAGAACCTGGAGATTCTTTTCATTTATATATTGCAATTTCAGGCAATTTTCTCTCCATTTAAATATTAGGCTTGTTACAATAATTTGTTTCAACTAAATTATATATTTGGCACGTGATGTCTGCATTCTGTAAGTATTGTAGCCTTGTTTATGTTTAATCATAGAGTGCTTAATAGCATTGGATACTCAAACTGATGATACTTAGTATCAAAGTAAATGAGAGAAATGACATTTGTTAGTGGTTTTCCGAATATTATTATACATATGCAATTGTTTCCAGCATTACATAAATAAAACAACAAAGGAAAAGTTAATATCCTGATCTGACCAGCAGACAGTCTAAATACAAACATTTAGGGTATATATGGTGGGAATTCTTCCTAGTCTTTGTGTTGTATAGGGGAATTTCCTATTCTCTCTCTCTCAATCTGACTTTTTTCTCTGGGGGGAAGAAAGTGTATATGTATAGTCCATCCCCCATTCACTAGTGTTCTCCTTGTTCTCAGTTTTTTCCCCCCATACAGCCCTTTGGCTGAAAAATGCAAATACTCTGCTGTAAGACCAGGTGTACTTTATAGTTGTAACTATGGCATGGTTGCTTTGAAGACATACCTGTTATATATTTTTCATTTAGTCAGCATATGTTATTTCCACAAAGAGAAGTGGAAGGCTTCAGCCAATGACAATGGAGAGATGTTGCTAGGAAGAGTAGATAATACTGGCTTAGATGTATAAAAGCAGTTTAACGTATTAGACATCTATCTAGGAAGGCAATTGTTTACAAGAGATGATGTCCGGAATCCTGTTGGGGAGTTACCAACTTGTGAACTGGAGTTGTGCATTTCTAACTGTTCAATAATTATGATTTCATTATTCATTCTGTTGTCTAGGGGGCACATAGGGACTGTGAAAATCCCTTGATCTTTGCGTACTGGGCAGTAGTCCTTCTGATTGAGGGAGTTCATTCTGCTGTCGCTCAGGGAGAAGCTAACTATATATATGTATATTCTGGCATATAAGATGAATGGCCGTATAAGACGCCCCCCAACTTTTCTAGTTAAAATATAGAGTTTGGGATATATTCACCGTATAAGACTACCCCTCTTCCAATGCACACCAAATAAAAAATTTAAAAACATCAGATTTGATTTCAATATGGTAATTTTCCTATTACTGTACCTCCTTCTCTGCCTCTCAGATCTTGCACATGCACACCTGCACCGCTTCACTGCAGTCTTCAGGAGCGAGATCTGAGAGGCAGGGGAGGAGGTATGGTAATAGGATACAAGGGTGGGCCAGACAGGTAAAAGAGGTGTGTTTTTCTGGGTGCAGAGCCACTCTTATCTCTTTTTTGCATATCCCGGGTGCCCCGGACGCCTGCAGCTTGCAACACCCTTCACTTACATCTTCCTGGTGAGACGCCCCTTCACCTCACCATCGGGAGCACATTAAGTCCACAAATTCTGATGAATGGATTTTCTTCTACCATACTTGCACAGCGTCACCCTTAATGCTTTCATACAGTCACTGCATACGGCAGGGACGCGGCCACTGCCATTTTTGAGCTCCCCCCACCATATGCAGCACCACAGATTCTCCAATCCGATTGGAAGTTTCAGCACCTGCTCTATAAGACGACTCCTGGCGTATAAGACTACTCCCGCGTATAAGATGACTCCCACATATAAGGTTACTCCCGTGTATAAGACTACCCCCTTGTATAAGGCTACTCCCGTGTATAAGACTACTCCCGCGTATAAGATGACCTCGCATATAAGACGACCCCTGACTTTTGAGAAGATTTTCTTGGGTTTTAAAAAGTAGTCTTATACACCAGAATATATGGTAATGTTATGACCCACCACTCTGGTATGAGTGGAAGTTGCTTCTTCCTGTCACAATTGGAATTACTCTTAGCAATGGAAAATAACGTCAGTTCAGCTGTTCTCTGAATTAGAGAATGGACTCCTTCCATTGCTGCAGCTGCTTCTCAGAAAGAGGTGACCTGGTGGGGAGGTGGACTGAGATTTACTGCTTAATTGTGCAACTGTGTTGATTACTCATTCATAACTCCACTGCAAAATTCCAGCCAATATGAGGAGACAAGGACTGTTTAATTGTGTGTTGACCACTCACTGTTTTATTGTTGTCTCTTGTGTCAGAACCACATTCATTTTGGAGATTTATATTCAAAATCATCATTTCCTTTTTATCCCAGATCCCAATGGGTGCCACGGACTGTTCTCTCCCAATGCTATGGGCTCAAAAGGCAGGTGTGGCTGCAGATGTCTTTATTGTGTTTACGGATAATGAGACATTTGCTGGAGAGATTCATCCTGCTACAGCTTTGAGGCAGTACCGGGAGGTAAATATTTTCTGTATAGTAGCATAATATTTTCTCTGTATCAAAATGTCCATTTTTAGATTAGTTTAGAGTTTTTATTTAAATAAAATTTAAATATTGCAAAAGGGTAAAATCTGCAGAAACAGCTACATGACGGTAGAAGCACAGTTTAAAAATTTCTGTTTCTATCTTAACAATACAGGTGGAAAATAATTTGTTGAACTTTTTTGCATCACATTCCAGCCCACTCAAAAGTATATTTGAGCAGTATAAATGATCCATGAATATGATAAAGTATGCAACTGAAGACTATAAAAACTTTTTGTGGATCAAGCAGGAACAGTAAAACTACTACAGTTGCAACAGAGGAAGTGATAGTGGGAAAAATCTTCATTTTGGGGTATGATTACCAAGAAATTGCTAGTGAGAGATGTCTAGTCACCTAGGCAAAGATGCTGAGTCATACTAATACCTTTTGAGGTTTGGAGGTAGGGAGAGGGCCAAACCAAGCCAGAAAGCCTGTAGTTGGGAAGATTTGGATTTATTTAAATTTATTTATAAATTTTGCAGGGATATATTCAAATTTGTGTGTTTGTGGTTTTTTTTCCTTTTGTCTTCTTTTAGAAAACAGGTATTCCATCCAAACTGATAGTTTGTGGAATGACATCCAACGGCTTCTCCATTGCAGACCCAGATGATAGAGGCATGTTAGATATTTGTGGTTTTGACACAGCGGCACCAGATGTCATTCGAAATTTCACTTTGGATTTGATTTAATTCTGTGAACATCTGCTTTCCTGACATTACCAGCTGAGGACTTTGTTTTGGACCTACCAATTGAATTGACTCATTGAGCTAACTCATGACTGAGTTTTAATGCATCAATTGGGATGTTTAACATTTTAAAGACGGGCAGAGGCAAAATCATTTCTGGGGAGACTGTTTAAATCTGTTGCACACTGTTAAAAATAGCAATGGAATGCCTTTTAGAAATAGCTTTGGGAAACAGTGTATGCGTCTAATTTTTTTATAATAGCTTATCCTTAACAAGGTATTCCATTGCTGTAGAATTTATTTTCCAGAATAATTTTACTCTTTTACTCTCTGTTTGGGAAGATATTTCAATGTTTTACATTGTGTTGGGTTGATAGCTGCTTCCTTGCATAGTTTGTTATTCATTTTCTTGACAAGGAAAAGAGAGGGCCAGTCTGTACTTCAGGTTACCTCACTTCTATCAATGCGCATTGGCTCGCATTGCTTATAGCACATTTGGGTTTGGCAACTTGCTGCTTTCAGTCCTCCTTTTGTTAGTAAGGAATTCTGTATATCCAGATACTGACTTATTTTGGGACAACTGGTTTGTTCTAAGGGTTATGTGGGTATGGCTGGATTATTGTCTCCTCAGTCCTCTTTGTTTTCAAGCAAGTCTTGATAGATTTGCACAATTTTGTCATCATGCTTTAAGTTCTCACTGATTTAGGAATATGTTGCTAGGCTCACTGAATGAGAAAAGTGTGAAAAAATTAGGTTTAACTTTCTTTTCATCTGTAATAGAAAGAGGACAAAGAAGGGAACATGCATATTTATAGTGACATAAGAAATAGAATTAGATTCTAACACTATTTATGTATTACTTGTGTGTTCTGTAGTTTCACAATGAAGTAGAACTGGTGCCATGCTTCTAGTCCTGCCCTCTGTTTACCTGTTGAATGAGGATAGTTGCAAGAGAGCTGCCTTGTTGTGTGTGAGCAACTATTCACATTTAGGTAATATATAGTGCTGCATATCATAATTGTGTGGAGTTCCTACATGGGAGCAAGAGTGAATGCATAGGCATTTATTTCTAGATTCTGCTCAACACATAAAAGTCAAAATCTGGAACTAGCTAAGGAATGTGAAATTTGGACCAAACCTAGAAGTGCTGCCTTCTTCTGTTTCACCACAGGATTATCCCTAATATGTGGGTAACACATGAAGAAGGGTGGTGACACAACTCTATGTTTAATGTAGCTGAACCAATACAATTCTCAGATGTTTTGTGTGCAGTTGAGACCAGTGAGAAATACGTTACAAGATCTTCAAGTCATCAGTAAAATAGTAGTGCAGAAAAAAACTCCAAAAAACTAACTCATGTATTTTTCATCTCTAGTGTACTATAACAAAGTACTTATAAGAATGTGTTAGACCATGTGACTGTGATAGGAGTACAAAAGTTACATATTTTAAAAGAGAGAAACTATCTTAAAATTGTACTGGTAAGATTGTGTCCATAGATTGTGTGAGAGAGGCATTTTGTGCAACTGATGTTACTCTTCTCCCTCCTCTCCTCTGCATTCTTTCATTGAGTTTTTTCACCCCCAAAAATTCAAGCAGAGGATCTTTGTTTGGTATAACTTTCTTTTTCAGATTCAGGTGATAATCCCTTTGCAATATACTAGCCAACCCCTTTTCTTTCGAGGAAATACAGGTAGAAAGAGAGAAAAAACAAGCTGAAATAGTTGCCTTCTTCTTGGCAATCAGTGGATAGAACTCAATCTTATTAGGCTTGTTTTGGAGTCAAATATGGATGTTCCCTATTACAACCTTCTTTGAAAGAGATGGGAAATGCATAAGGAGTTGTAATTATTGCTCAAACCTAGCTTCCTTCATTGAAGCTGTGTAGAAATATGTCTACATGTCAAACTCTTTGCCTTTACAGAGCACTTGAATTAATCAGTTCAACAGTTAGAGCAAAACTAATAAATGGTATTGAGATCCTCAAATGTAAAACATATAATATAAATACACTTTATAATGGTTTTATCATTTAGTTTGACAAGTTTCTTTTTAGTGCAGCTGGGAAAAGACTTCTCAGTTCAAGCAGTGATCTTATCTGAAAACCAAGTTTAATTTTACCAGGTAATTCAGTACATACGATAACCTTATACATTCTATAGTCAACTACTTATACAGGATTCAACCAGGTAATGATATGCTTTATACATTAACTTCTTTGATTGTAGCACCTGTCAGCTTCTTATTTCAGTCAAACATGTTTGTAGTCTGTATAAGAGATGTCTACTGTAGGGGCTTACATTTTTGCACTACCGTAGAACATGTTTTGCAGGGTTTTCCCCAGCCCCCCTCCCTTAGTGCTTAAAATTTCCTGGGGAAATTGTCCTAACACCATTTTATTGTAGTACCTAAAGAAATAATACAAATCAGCTAGAATGTGCAGTTGTTGCAGGATGTACATCATAGAATCTGATACTATGTATGTAGTGAAATGTACTTAATATAGTTCATGGGTTAGAGGAGTATTTGATTAAATTGTGGGCACTTCCAGTCAGGGCTTAAACCTACTCTGGCACGGGTTTAAGAAACCTGCTTTGGTGCAGGTTTAAGTTCCCATGTCTGCTCCCCAAAAACAGGCTTTCCTGGTGGGGTGTCCCCATGCCATCCCAGTTACTTCTGGAATGGCATGGGGCCACCCACCCCATCCCAACCCAAACCCTGAAAAGTAAAAAATATTACCGGGCTGCCATTATGCTGTTGCATCAGGTCTCCTGGCGCATTATTTCTACATGGCAGAAGGCCTGCCTAGAGTAGAGTAATTGTGGTCTGGTAATTTTTTTAACTGAAGGCTTTTGGGATGGGGCGATGGGGAGAGGTTGGGTGCACTCTCAGTTCTCCAGGTTCATGGAGCCCGAAAAACTGAGAGGACTGTGGGGACTGACCCTAGGGACTACCCAGGAGTCAGTTCCCACAGGTGCCATACCCCTGTAGACCTAGGCTTTTCAGGAAGTCCCAGGTCTAATGGAATATTTAATTAAATCAGGTCAAAGCTGTGTTCACCTGCTTTGTCCCGAATTAATTCTCTTTTACCATAAGTGTCATTTGGACACCTCTGGTAAAAGCCTAACAAATCCCACATTTTGGGGCCTGTCTGGAAGGACCTTGAGATGGAAAGGGTTTCCAGTTAATTGAAAAACACCTTTAATGGTGATGATGATAACATGGGCTGACATCAAATTGTTTTCCCATTGCAAGTTTCTGCGAGTGGGTAACATCTCCCCACTGCACCTCAAGGTTTGGGGAGATGTGTGATGATAGAGGACAGCAAAGAAAAAAATGGTTGCATCATGAAAAAAATATCTGTAACTGCAATATTGGATATACCAATACTGTATAAGCTCTTGAAACTACAAGAGTAATATCTTAAGAATAATGTTTGAAATTTCATACAGTACAAGTAAGTGGGAGTCAATTCTGTAAGTCCTGAGAGTATTGATACATTTTTTGCTCTCAACCGAAGTCATGAGTTATCAAAAGCAGCTCTCTTGCAATCATGCCATTTGAAGAACTTGTGGCCGCATCAATCTCTGTGTGAAAATGATCTCCATTAAAGTATCTGAAAATGTTTCCAGAGTGCTGAGCTGCTTCTCCAGCATCTTGAATTATATTTGTTCTAAATTTGCTCTCTTGTATAATTTCTAAGAGAGCTCTTCAGGCATTTCCTACTTAATTGTACAAAATAAACATAATTTTGGTTCTTAAAGGTGTTATGCCTCTTCCTCTAAGGAGACATTGAGTGTGCTGTATAGGCATCATTAATGCACAGGAGTCGTTGGCAGTTAAGTCAAAATGAACACAACCACTTCCCTTCTTGGGTAGAACTCTTAAAGTAACTGGTAGAGCAGACAGCCATTGTTATGCCTAAACATGACCATTAATAATAACCTAATGGTATAGCACAAGTAGAAACTGATTAAAAGTATTGTTTAGCTTGGGACAGATTTAATATATTGAAGATGAAAAGATTACAGCCATACCTATACAATATTGTTACTTTCTATAAAAAAGAAGAGTTCTTACTGTTCTGCTAGGAGAGATCTGGGGCAAATTTGGATTGGCAGGGAAGATCAACATGAGTAACAGACTCAAAAAATGTTTCTCAGGTATACTTGATTTGTGTATTTCTCCATAGCAGGTGATTGTACTCAATGACAATTGTGCTCCCTTCCAACTCTTACAAGTCTACGAATTTAGATTTTTTTCCTGATGATTTTTTTCTTACTTCATCAAATGGTACCTCATTTTTCCTGACCAAAATAGTTATGAACTACCAATAAAAATTTCAAAGTTTCAAAATATATATTTTTACAAAACTTGGGAGAATGGGGTTGATATTTGGTTAACAGAATCTTCCTTGGACATTCAATACCTTAAATTAGTCTACCTTAAAAATTATTTTCATTCTGACATAAGTTTCTTAAGAAGAAAAATAATTTTGCAGAATTATCTATGAATTACCACATATACTAAGATTAGTTATGCAAAATGCTGATTTTAGGACACTGTTTTTGCTTTATTCGTTCAGTTTTTCAGAACCCCTGGATATACTTTGTTGACAAATGCTGATTGTGTGTAATGCTCTAGGAGCTAAAATTATTTTGCAAAATCTAGATAACACTAATAACTTGACAGCTAAACTACATTCAGATTATATTTATTTATTCAAACAAATATTCTGCATTGCCAACATTGCTTTCACTGATCCTTATAGTTTAGCGAGGAGAGGCGTATGTCCCAATCTTTTATGACAAAAGTGTTAGACCTTTATTTGCGGAGCTTTTTATACAAAGTTTAGTTATGTCAAATGTTTATTTATTTATTTATTTACATCACTTCTACCCCGCCCTTCTCACCCCCGAGGGGGGACTCAGGGCAGCTTACACGGGCAACAATTCAATGCCATAATTTCAATACAACAACATAAAATCAAATACATAGAAAATTAACAATAACATTAATTAAAATCACATACTCATATACTAACATAGTCGCCTAATCAAAATCACATATTCGTTTCCTATTGTCAGAATAGTCCACTAGCCGAAAGCCTGACTCCAAAACTACGACTTTAGCTTTTTCCTAAAAAGTGAGGAGGGAGGACACCAATCTAATCTCATTGGGGAGTGAATTCTACAAGCGAGCGGCCACCACTGAGAAGACCCTGTCCCTTGTCCCCACCAGACATGTTCGTGACGCCGGTGGGACCGAAAGCAGGGCCTCCCCAGTAGATCTTAAATTACGAGGTGGAACATAGAGAGAGATACATTCGGATAAGTAAGCTGGGCCGGAGCCATATAGGGTTTTATAGGCCAAGACCAGCACTTTGAATTGTGCTCGGAGGTGGACCGGCAGCCAGGGTTTTGTTCCCAGGGTTTTGTATCAAATTATCACGAAAATGTTGAAATCCTACATTTTAATATTACAAAACATGAAAGTCAGGAGAAATGAGGATCAAGGTGAATGAAATGTCTTCAGAAGACCCATAACCAAGGAGATGGAATATCTGATTATCAACCCATCCCGTTTGCTGTGGGTTGGATCCAGAGTTTGCCCCTCGGCTCACTTCCAGAGCTCCTTTCCCAATACTCCCTGTAGTTTGGGGGAACTGCTAAGCCAGATGGCTTTTGTGCAGGGAGCTAATGAGGAAGGTGGGCTTTTCTGGAAATTTCGTATTTGTTTATGCTGGGAGCCTAACCTCAGAGAATACTGTGCCCACCAGGCATGTAGCCGGGGGGGGGGGGGGGGGGGGGGCTTGGGGGGATTCAGACCCCCCCCCCCAAATTCTCATGGTGGTTTGTGAAAAGGCCTTACTGGTGCATTATTTAAACTGTTATGTTTATTCATATCATGATCTGATCACCATAGTCAATATATCCCATATGCATAGGGGTATTAGGGTAACGATACAAAAGGTTTGCTAGGGTAGACCCTCTTTCACTCGGACTCAGCCCCCCCCCCCCGAAACAAACTCAGCCCCCCCCCCCCGCCCCGAATCGAAATCCTGGCTACAGGCCTGGTGCCCACTGTAATGTCCTAAAAGTGGAGCTAAAATTACTTTGGGAGACAAAACCATGAAATTAATGTGCTTTTCTCCCCACCCAGAAGTCTATCTGTTCTCCATTTAATTTAATGGCTAAAGGTTTGTACTTGCACCATTATGATTATGGCTAAATAGAAGAAAAAGAAGGTTGTGTTTCTGATTTCATATTTTGGTTACATGTAATCCTCAGTTCCCGCTTGCTGTAATTAATGTGGCAACTTTTGCCTTACCTGTGGTGTGGAAAATTCATGCTAGTGGGTGGGATTATGCAGTCATATGTCCCCCTTTTCCCAGTTTCTAAAGTATGATTATGGAACCGGTAAGTACAATACCTGCATAGGTCTATGTTGCTCTTATTCATTGACTATGAAGAAAGGAGCACTGATGGCTTCACAAACACTGCTTTGTATACTCCATGCATTCACTAAAATGGGATTGCAGAGGTGGCATGTATGTTAATTGTATGTATATGTGGCTTCCATTACCTGTCAACTAATGGTGGCTCCATGAATTTCATATGGTTTTCTTACGCAATGAATCATTCAAGGTGGTTTTCCCAGTTCCTTCCTCTAAAATATAGTCTACAGCACCAGGTAATCATTGACAGTCTCCCATCCAACTTCTAGTTAGAATTGACGAGAACTTCCATAGATCCAAATGGATCTAATTAACAGCTAAATAGGGATTCCCCATGACCATTTTCCCCTTTTAAAATGCCAAAAAGGGTCTATTGAGGGACTATAGAGAACTTTTCCATATGTTTGGAGCCCTATGAGCTCTTCAGGGGTCAAAACCAAATTGATATTTTTTAAAAATGTCCCAACATGTCCTCCAGTGGAAACAGGCAGGTCCTCGTGCCTCAGAGAATGCTTGTTGTTGTTCATTCGTTCAGTCGTCTCCGACTCTTCATGACCTCATGGACCAGCCTACGCCAGAGTTCCCTGTCGGCCGTCACCACCCCCAGCTCCTTCAAGGTCAGTCCAGTCACTTTAAGGATGCTATCCATCCATCTTGCCCTTGGTCGGCCCCTCTTTTGCCTTCCACTTTCCCAAGCATAATTGTCTTCTCTAGGCTTTCCTGTCTCTTCATGATGTGGCCAAAGTACTTCAACTTTGTCTCTAGTATCCTTCCCTCCAATGAGCAGTCGGGCTTTATTTCCTGGAGGATTGACTGGTTGGATCTTCTCGCAGTCCAAGGCACTCTCAGAACTCAGATCCACTCCTGATAAAAAGTAACCCTGGGGTAAAAACCTTGTCCTTTAACTTTTTTATATGCGGTGGAAGCATTTTATATGAAGGATCATGTAGCCCTTGCCTGAAAGCTGAAATTGTGCATTATTATCACCAGGAGGAGACATGTCGCCTTGTGTTACCCAAATGAGTTGTGCCGTTTTTGTAATATACTGGTAACAACTAAATTCGGGGTTATCACTGTGAAGAGAGAGTTTGCTGAAGCTGATATCTTGGAAGCAATGTTGGTTCTATTCTGGAGAAAACACGAGCACACTTGAATTTATTGCGAGCCCATATGGCTAAAAAGGATGTGTCACTCCTTTTTTCCCCAACCTACATTTTACCATGCACTTAGAATGTGTGTGACATTGGGTTGTTGTAGGTTTTTTCGGGCTATATGGCCATGTTCTAAGAGGCATTCTCTCCTGATGTTTCGCCTGCATCTATGGCAAGCATCCTCAGAGGTAGTGAGATGCTTGTCATAGATGCAGGTGAAACGTCAGGAGAGAATGCCTCTAGAACATGGCCATGTAGCCCGAAAAAACCTACAACAACCCTGTGTGACATTGTTTTGAACGGATTGGTAAACAAGATTTTCCTGTTCCTTCTTTTACAAAACATAACACTTTGGGGGGGGGGAGGGGGTGGAGAAAGATCCAGTCTTAGGGTTCAGGAAGCCTTAAGAAATGTTATATATAAAAAACAAGTGTTTATTTGGATCTGTAAATGTGCAGCTCATTTCCAAAATTATTAAGTTCTGTCTTAAAGCCATGCTATCCTGAGATTCAAGCATGTAGGAGTTGGCACACAGTTGGGAAAGGATAATTTTGTTTGCAGTTAGGATCAGATGTAATGTTTGTGGAACATTCCTTTTATGTTACTGTAATTTTACTTAGGTAACTGAAACATACCAGCATTTTAGCATGCACTTTTTATTTTATAAACTGAACTGTATTGTACATCTGAAGATACTGCCAACAAATGTTATTTTATCACAAAACAGTGACTCATACAGGAGACCAATTAATTTTGTTACCTATTAATGGGCTTTCATTAAGGACTTAGTGTCATGTCTTTTTGAAATGTTAACATTAACCAGCATTTCTATAGAAAATGTATTTTTAAAATTAGTGTATAATTAGTATATAATTAGGGTATAATTAGTGTGAAATGTCAATGTATGTGTAATTTGATAGAAAAAAATTAACAGGGTGTGAAAGAAGTTTGCAAAGCATAGAAATTCATGCAGAAGCAGAAAAAAATTGTCTAGATCTCCGTTTATCAGTTTTTATAGTTTAAAGTCACAGTACACCTTTATAGAGATGACAACTTTTGGAAAATTTTGAATTCATGGAGTGAAAAAACCATCCCCCCTTTTAAAAGTGAAAAAGAATTTTTTTAGAAAAATTAAAAACATTTTTAATAACTCAAAATTATTTCCTTAATTTAGTAACATAACATGTATTATGTATAATATTATTTGTCATATAATTATTGTGTTTGCTATATGAAATCTGGGGTTTATTCAGAGAATAAAATTATTTTTATTTTTTAATTCTATGTTAACAAAGCGAGCTACAAAATCTTGGTTTTGCCAAGTTATTAAAAGGAAGCAAAGCATCAAAAAAGCAAAACGAAGGCTCTTACTAAGATTGGTCGAATGAGAACATTTTCCCCCATAGGATTAAGCAGACAAAAAGTGCCTAATTTACAAGAAAGATTAGTAAGGAAATAATTCTGAAATTGCAATGAGCAGGTGCTGTGGATTGTCTTACATAAAATTCCTCCAAGTATGGAATGTTTAGAAATTATTTTAGGGGAGTAAAGATTACAAACACTTTTTTAACAAGGCAAAAGCTGCACATCGCAAGTGCTGAACCTGACTCAGCACATAGAAGATGGCTTTGAAAGGCAGCAGATCACAGGAGCTGTTTTCATAGACCTGTCCGCAGCTTATGATACTGTGAACCACCGCCTCCTCCTGAGAAAAATGTATAATATCACAAAGGACTACCACCTCACCCGCCTCATAGGAAACCTGCTACAAAACAGGAGCTTTTTTGTTGAGTTCCAGGGCCAGAGAAGCAGATGGCGGAAACAGAAGAATGGCCTGCCTCAGGGGAGCGTGCTTGCTCCATCCATGTTCAACATCTACACAAATGACCAGCCACTGCCAGAAGGGACAGAGAGTTTCATCTATGCTGATGATCGTGCCATTACTGCTCAAGCAGGGAGCTTTGAGAAGGTTGAACAGAAGCTCTCTGAAGTTCTAGGTGCTCTTACTGCCTACTACAGGGAAAACCAGCTGATCCCTAATCCATCTAAAACACAGACATGTGCTTTTCATCTCAAGAACAGACAAGCATCCCGAGCTCTGAGGATTACCTGGGAAGGAATCCCACTGGAGCATTGCAGCGCACCCAAATACCTGGGAGTCACTCTGGACCGTGCCCTGACCTTCAAGAAGCACTGCCTGAATATCAAGCAAAAAGTGGGCACTAGAAACAATATCACAACCAGACACAGTGAAGACATCCGCCCTTGCGCTATGCTACTCTGCTGCTGAGTATGCATGCCCAGTGTGAAACACATCTCACCACACTAAAACAGTGAATGTGGCTCTTAAAGAGACATGCCGCATTATCACGGGGTGTCTGCGCCCTACACCACTGGAGAAATGACACCGGTATTGCACCACCTGACATTTGCCGGGAAGTAGCAGCCAATAGTGAAAGGACCAAGGCAGAGACATCTCCAGCTCAACTTTCAGAAATGGGGCTACAAAGTGAAATCCGCAACATGCGAGTACAGATCACCTACTGCAATGCAACCTGAGCCCTGCCACATGCACAATGGAGGACCTTCTTGCGGCAACACCAGAAGCACTCCAAGTGGCCAGATACTGGTCAAAGGACATCTAATCAACTACCAAGCTTGCAAACTCTGTGTCTTTTGTATGTTTGTTTGTTTGTTCTGTCAAAAATGTAATACAACTGTTCGGTTGCCTGACACGATAAATAAAAAATAAATAAGGATCATAGGGCTGAAAATACAGATTTCATTCCAATAAACACCTTAATGTCATGTTGACCTACATTATTCCACAGTATTACGTATATGTCAGGCTAACAAGTGGATATGACATGTTGCAAAAAATATCTGCTACCCTCTTCTAAAGTAGTTCGGAAGCTCTTATTCACTTATATTGAAGTGTTTGCATCGAATAGATTAAGCAAAGGTTTTGGGACCAAATTATGGATTGTGATAAGTTGAAAGTCATTCTGTGGTGGGGGAAAGCACCAATGCCACTCTAAGTGTCCACCTGCCTTTGGCCACCACTGCTATTTCCCCTCCCAGGCCTTTAAAAAGCCAGATGCACTGCCCCAGCAAAGAGAGTTGAGAGGTTCAATGCTAAGGAAAACTAAGGTTTTCTCTTTTGCCACTCTTCTTAGAGAAGGGGATAGTTCCTTTTTTTTGGTATGAGTTAAGGTACAGTACTCATGACAAATTGATCTAGGTTTTTTGGATTGCTTTTCTGACAAATTTCTAAACTTATACATGCATATATACGGTGTGCTATAGACCAGTTTTAAGTAATACTGTTTCTGTTGGATTGAAGCAAGCACAATATTCTTGTTCAGTGCAAAAGTGTTTGCCAAATGCATTATTACAAATGATGTGTACAAAGGAACATCTTGGATAAATAGTTCTGGTTTTAATATAAGTATAAGCATGCATAGAAAACATCCAGTAGTTCACAAAGAACATTGTAGAATTTCCATTTTTTAAAATAGGTTTCAGTTAGCTTAAGCAAAGTACCACTGCAATAATGACTAAGGTCCAAACATAATACTTGTAGCAGCATTGATATTCAACACATGCACAATTATCCTATGCTTCCAGAACACTCAGATAACAGATATGTTATGCTATTTGCAGAGGTTCTTTTCCACATAGTCTCTTTGTGGAGAGAAAAGGTATAAATAAACAGTAATAATAACAATAATGTTCCTTAACCACATGGAGTGATGAGGAATTATGACCTTAATGTATTTGACAGTCTTACAGAGATGCTGTTAATACCTGTATTGCCTCACATATCTCAAATCTGTACAGGAGTAATGAGTTGATAGGTTTGATTCTCGCTTCTGAAAGGATCACAAGTTTTTCAATTCCCTGACCAGTTTTTCTGCTACAAGAAGGAATTTTTGCCAGATTAGTTTCTGCAGAACATTTTGTCAGAATTGATAACTTGGTCTTGTAGGCTTTACCTGGTAGACACCTGTTCTATTGGATGTGCTGAACAGAGAAGATCTTGTTGGCCAGGACACAGAGAATCAGAAGTTAACATTGTCATTTGACTTCTGGAATGGCAAAGTTAACTCCAAATAGTTTCAGAAGTACTTGTGGCATTGTATAGGGATTTGAAGTTCAGTTTGCTATTCTTTATGCTTAAAATTAAACACTAAGGAGAAAAAAACCTGTTAATATGGTCTTTATGTATCTCAGCATCTTGGGGATGGGGAAGTGTCAGGGCAGATAATTAACCTGCAGAAGGGAGACACTTATTCCTTCTCCATGTGACCATTTCTTATTGGAAAAGGATGCTCCCCATCCCTCAAATTAGGAACCAAAAGTAGAAACAATAAACTGTTATTGGCAATAAAGTAATGTTTCCAACATATATCTGAGTCCTGGTTAGCATCTAGAGCAGTGGTTCTCAACCTGTGGGTCCCGAGGTGTTTTGGCCTACAAATCCCAGCCAATTTACATTTTCTTCTAAATTTTAATGGGTAACATGTTTTGGTCTTCCACAGAACTAAAGCTGCATGATTAGGATTTCTGGGAGTTCAAGGCCAAAACATCTGGGGACCCACATGTTGAGAACCACTGGTCTAGAGAGACCTGAATATGGGTAGCAGGAACTGCAGTTCTGCATCTTAGAACTTTGTTGCAGTGTGAAATAGATCCTCTGGAGCAATCTGACCTATTATGCTCTCAATTCTCTTATCTTTCATGATTTTAGAAGGGGATCTTTTCTGGGATGCTGAACTGAAAGTGAGATGTTTTAGATTCCAAGAATATGAAGTACAATTGAGCTAAAATCAGGAGTGGCTTCTTGGCAATTTTACAGCAGAATTAAAATGATATTCTCATATCCAAACACAAAAAGAGATTTTTTTAAAAAACAAATTGTATTGAAATATTTTCATGCAGCTTTAGTTCTGTGGAAGACCAAAACATGTTACCCATTAAAATTTAGAAGAAAAATGTTTTGACTGGATTGATTTTCCACCAATATTGGTGATTATATTTACTAGCAACTAAATATTTTGGTGTAGAAACTGGTAATATAGAGGAATAACCACTGCATTTTACCTCCAACTGCAACGTTCATTTAAGGTATGACAAACTTTTGGGATCCACTGGGCACACTGGAAACACGAAGAAGCTCTTACAAGGTTTGTCAATAAATGAAATGACTAGAGAACACTAGACCTTTATAACCCATCTAAAGCTGTTTTGTATTTATTAAGGAAACACACGATACCAAATGAGATTAGGAATGGTAAGTAAATGCAGAGTATTTATGAGCCCAGCAATGACACACTTTTGAATTAATGTTAAGGAAGACTACATGTCTGTCTTAAGCGTCCATCTCTTTGGATCTGACATTGGGAAACTAGTGGAAGCAGCCTGCCCTCCTGGTGAAGTCTCTGAGTGTCTGTAGCACCTCCAACAAAGGTTCCATTGATAAATATTCTGGGAACCTGTTATAGAAAGAAAATAAATGTTACTTCTTGGGCGCCAAGTTCAGAGCACTACAGTGTTGCCACACATGCGTCATATAAGATTTCTGAACATGTTTGGATATGTTGTCAAGAAGTGGTTGAAGAAATTGTAAACAGCCATCATTTGATAGTTTGGGATGTAAAAGGCAAGAAGATAACAGGAGCTTCCCTAAATATCCAGTTAGCATCTAGTGAAGTATATTGTTCTAAATCACAAATGACATGGCCTTTTGCGAAGCAGCCAAATGACAAATTGAACAAAATAGTTTACATGTTTCAGCACAATATTTCAGTGTATTATAATTTAGATTTTTTTTTCAAAAAAATCAAGGAGTAATATAATTGCAAAAGTTGTAGGATAAATGATAAATTAAGGAAGGACTGGGATTGTGACTCAAAAACAATCTGCAAAACATTGTCAATTTTGCATCTACCACCTGACTCTATTCAATGCAAGTTTTCTATTAGGAAGAATAAAAAAGCGTTCTTCTTTTGATAGGGGCCTTGTGTGAGTCCTGTCCCCTTTTCACCATCAGAATTGTAACAGTGGTGAAACAAGAGCTCCTTGAACAAAAACTTAGCAGGTGCCGGAAAAATGCCCAGCCTCAAAGGCAGGAATGAGTGGCTTGTGAGCCAAAAGATCTTTGGAATATTTTGGATTTCTTATATTGAAGTAATAGCTCAGCAGACTACACAACAGAACCTATAAGGATTAAGGAAGAGATGAGGAATATCTCTTTGGATATTGAATCTTCCAAAACTGCAATTCTCAAACAGGTCTACACATTATGGTTGATTTTTTTTTTTTTTTGTGTCAGGAGCGACTTGAGAAACTGCAAGTCGCTTCTGGTGTGAGAGAATTGGCCGCCTGCAAGGACGTTGCCCAGGGGACGCCCGGATGAATCGATGTTTTTATCATCCTTGCGGGAGGCTTCTCTCATGTCCCCGCATGAGAAGCTGGAGCTGATAGAGGGAGCTCATCCACCTCTCCCGGCATTCGAACCTGCGACCTATCGGTCTTCAGTCCTGCCGGCACAGGGGTTTAACCCACTGCGCCACCGGGGGCACCATCATGGTTGATGATGGGGGATCAGAGAACTATACGGTACAGAACTATAGTTCAATATCTGGAGGGCCCCACGTTTTTTACCCACAATTGCAGATAATACATTTGAAAAGAAAAGTACTTACTGTCCTGCCACCAGTCATTTGATGAAGAACATCCTGAAACTGACTGCCATTTTCGTATCTATCCAGTTCTATGGCTGTGTAATTTACATTCGCATCATGGAATAACTTCTTTGCCATGTTGCAGTAAGAACATGTTGTTTTTGAAAAGATCACTACACAGTTGTCTGATATAGCATCCTGTGTATTAAAACAAAAACTTGTGTGAGCAATTATATGTTATTTTCCCCCTACCAATGGTAAGATGTTCATATTTTGAATTCCCTTCCCTTCAAGTACAGGGTGAGCCAGCATAACTTCCTTTTTTAAAATGCGCGCCATTCAGTTGGTTGAAGACGTAGCGGAAAGCAAGTCGTTTCATTCGAGAGGCGGGAGTATAACGTTTTGTCCTGACACAGTTCAGTCGCCATCATGCGTTGGAACAGTGAGGAGTGTGCTTTTGCCATTGAGGCATACGTTTTAAGCGGATTTGGAGTGGCTGGCCCGCTCTCCAGATTTGGCCCCTTGTGATTTTTTCTATGGGGTTTTTTGAAATCCCGTGTTTATGTGAACCGTCCAAGGACCCTACAGGATTTGAAGACCGACATCCAGGAAGAAATTGCCAACATAACGCTTGCTATGCTGACAAAAGTCATAACAAACGCCAGAAATCGGTTTATTCAAGTGTATGGAGAATGGGGGACGTCACCTTCCTAATTTGATCTTCAAAGCTACGTAAAACAAAACTTTAGGTATGCACCTACATTATAAAATAAAAAATAAACATTTCTGATTCATACAATGGGTTTTATTCAGTTTTGAAAAAAGGAAGTTATGCTGCCTAACCCTGTATAAGAATTCATACTACAGTGCAATCCTATACATCTCTACCCAAAAATGAATCCACTCAATTCAAAGGGATTTATCTCTAGGTAAATGCATATAAGATTTACCTAGAGATAGTTCATCATTGTAGAAAACAAGTAACTCATTTTCTACCTGTCTTTTTTTTAGTACCGATAAACTAAGATGCTGAAGACAGTTATTAAGTGCAGGAGAATATTCCATTATGTAGATTGCAATGCTTCTTATCTTCAATTCTGCCTCTTTTTTTATTTTACAAAAGCCATGTCATATTCAAGATACCTTGTATACAATCACAGCTTAAATGTGGAGGGGTAGAAAAATGGAAACCTTTGCTAAAGGAGATAGAAATATATATTCATACTTGCATATTAGGGGAGAAAGGCCTGTCCTCTCCTAGGCATTAGTAGTATTGAACTAAAACCAGTTGAGTCAATATGAATAATTGACTAGTGTGTTTTCAGCAACAGCTGCACAACTTTATTAATCTGTATTTAAAGAAAGAAGAATAAACCTACCGCTTCAAAGTATCTGTCCATCCTGAATGAAGCCAAGATAACTATTCAATATTGAGAAGTAACTATGGCTCCCATTACAAGCCACTTTCTATTCTAAATATTCATTTGTAATATTGTTATCTCACTGTGTGTTAATGGAGGACCTTCTTGCGGCAACACCGGAGGCACTCCAAGTGGCCAGATACTGGTCAAAGGACATTTAACCAGCTACCAAACTCACAAGTTGTGTATTTTTCTATTTGTTTGCTTTGTTCTGTTAGAAATGTAATATAATGGACTGGCTGCTCTGACATGACAAATAAATAAATAACTGTGTGTTAATATGTCCGTACAAATACAATCAATTTAAACAGACTAAAAGGCATATTTGGACAGAATTGTTAGGCCCCAAAGGCTTCAATAAGCAGCCATGTTTCAACATGGTGCTAAAATGGCAACCAAAGCCAAGGTGCCATAGCCGAGGAGGCCTTTAACCCTTAGGCAGGCTTATATTGTTAACTAGGGCTGGGCGGTTTCGTTTCATTAATTCATAATTCGCTAAAAATTCGTTAATTTTTTTTTTTGTTAACGAAGCGATAACGAACCATTTTGGAGCAACTTAAAAACGAAATGAATTTTTCAATTCGTTTCGTAAATGCTTCGTATTTAGTTATGTATTCGTTTCGTTATTGGTTTGAGGTCGTTTCGTTATTATTTCCACATGTCTGGGGCAAGTTTTATAGTTGTTTTTTGTTTAATTAGTGAAAAAAAAAATTATAATATCACACCAACAGTCAACAACAGAGGGAGAGGGAAGCTTCAGAAGTTCCCCCTGTCCCATTTGGAGGTTTTTTAGCGTATTGCGCGGTCGCGTCCGCCATTAACGAATCGATTCGTTATTGTTTCGTTATTGTTTTGTAATTTTTTTTTACCATTTACGAAATTTCGTAAATATCGAATTTTTCTTTAAAAAAAATTCGGAATTCTTTTAAATATCGAAACGCAAAAAACCCCAAAAAATGAATCGATTTTAGAAACAAATTTTTCCGTTGTTACTCAGGCCTATTGTTAACAACTGTCTATGTAAAACAATTCAAAGAATGCAAGATAATGAGTCCTACTAAGTTTACAGGAAAAACAGCACTCTAACTATAAACATATGAACCTTTATCTTTCTCGAATAAGACTTATTTATACCAATAGATTTCATGAGTCCAACATGAAATCCTTCAGATTTATGTTAGTTGCAACAGAAACATCACATGGAATGATAAATCCAGTAGCTACTCCCAATTGGTATAGATCCGTGGGATTTACATAAGTGTTAATATTATCCAGCAATTGCTTCAGTAGGTCTTGCTGGGACTGGCAATTGTATTCTGGTCAACATAATAATCATCTTTACTCACCTTTATGTGGTTAGCAGTAGCAGTATTCGATAAGTCTGTTTTAACAGATGTACTGTTTCCCATTCTAAAATAAAACCAAAAATAGTCGATTACAATCATGGCTTGCAGAATTTTGTTAATCTTATAAACTGTATTACGGTCACAACCCTATACTTACTTATTTATTTAATTTCAAATATTTGTACCCCGCCCTTTTCCACCCAGGGCGGCTTATAGCCAGCAATGATTTGATGCCCCCATATACAATATAATAAAATACAATAATTACATACAGGTAAAAACATTAAATCAATTCAAATTAAAAATTGTTTTAAAGTATTACTGGCTGGTTGGCCTCATCTAAACCGAATTCTCCGTGTTACTCAATTGAGTAACCGAGTTACTCAATCAGAAGCTTGTCCATAATCCATTTTCCATAGCGTTGTCATCAGCAGTAAACCTATTGAGCTCCAGGACTCGGTAGTCATATACAGAATGGGTATAATGTTCAACCAGAAAAGAATAGGAAAAAAGCATATACCAGCAATTGTATTTTTTCATTCATTTTTAAAGCAACCTCATAATGCATTCCTCCAATTGTCGTTAGGACTCCATGTTTCCACCATCCTTTGTCATGTCTAGGGCTGAAAGGAGCTGTTGGTGAATTAAATCTGGCAACCAAATGTTTCCCATCTCTAATAAATAAATAAATAAATACATAAATACATAAATAAGGGAATCCTATAGTATTCAAAGATCCAATACGTTCAACGGGGCTTACTTTTGGGCAACTGCTACAGGATTTCAGCCTACTGAAGTGTAAATATGTAACCTAAATGAGAGCATGTTAGATTACAGTATAATTATGCACCTGTATTTGCAGCAGGAATTTATTGAAAGATAAACTGAACATACACAATTTTAAGCTATATTTGGAGAACAAGGAGTTAGGTTAGTTGCAACTTGAGGCTACCGCTACTTCTATATAAATAAAAATGTAATGTTTGTTTGTGGGATTAACGTAACTCAAAAACCATTGGATGAATTGAATAGCATACACCTAACAACCCAAGGAGTCATCATCACTCTAAAAAAATGATTTTGTCATTTGGGAGTTGTAGTTGTTGGGATTTATAGTTCACCTATAATCAAATAGCATTCTGAATCCCATGAATGACAGAATTGGGACAAACTTCCCACACAGAATCCCCATGACCAACAGAAAATATTTAAGGCCATCCAGTCCAATTCCCTTCACCAGGGCAAGAAAACGTAATCAAAGCCCTTCTGACAAAGAGCCAGCCAGCCATAGATATAGATAGATATGATTCACACACACACACACACACACAGTATCATAGATTTGAAAGGGACCCCTAAAGAAGGACAATTATATGTTACATATCCCAGAGTAGGCAAACTAGAAAATCTCCACATCAACACTGACAAAGAAACAACAAGAAATAGTGTTTACCCACAAGCATAAAGACATTACATATATTAGTAACCAATACTTTCTCATTACTTTATTTTCCAGATCACCAGTCTGGGCCATAGCAATGCGTGGCAGTGAAAGGCTAGTATTCAATAAGATGATTTCCAGAGTTTAGAAGTAATTCTTGCCTCCCAAATTTAGCAACATGGATATGAGCTACTTGATCTCTCCAGAGTATGAACTGACTTAAGCAACACATCAAAATTTGAAAGCTAACATGATTTGGACTTACCTGCTATTATAGCTGTTTTTTTCTGGCAGGGTAGTCCAACCTTTCAAACAGACAAACTCACTCTTGAATTCCCTGCTCAAATGTACTGCAGAGCCTTCACTGTGGTATGCCTAACTATTCCCCTTACAGCAGTTTTGAGGGAAGATCGTGGAAAATTCCTTTTTGTGAACACAACTTCCCATGTGATCTTGGGAGAGCTTGAACCAATAAGGTGTCATGTTTTTCCCCAAAATACACGGAATTTTTTTATCAGAACTCACGGAAAATTTCCAAATGCTTGCAGATATATTATGTATTTACATTCTTCTTTACTTTTTTTCCAGATTGGAACAGATATTTCTCTCAAGGTAGATAAAATTTATGTTGTTATGTGTCCACGATATCAGCAATTATTTTTAGTTATCACACAGGTTTCTGAACTGTGATTTTAATATTAATATTTAACATCATACAATATGTGTTGCCTGTCAAGTTATGGTGACTCCATGACTTTTATAGAGCTTTCTTACACAAGGAGGTGTTTTTGCCAGTTCCTCCTTCAGAAATATGGCTCAGAGCACTTGGGATTCATTAGCTCAGTGGTTCTCAACCTGGGGTCCCCAGATGTTTTTGGCCTTCAACTCCCAGAAATCCTAATAGCTGGTAAACTGGCTGGGATTTCTGGGAGTTGTAGGCCAAAAACATCTGGGAACCCCAGGTTGAGAACCACTGCGCTGTTACCGATCCAAGTATTAACCACAAATAATCCTGTTTAGCCTTTAAGATCACATGGGGTCTGATCCTATATACGAGGGGTATTTTTTAAAGTAAGGTCCGTTTTGTTGTAGACACTAGTAGTTCACGCGCATACCGCAACGAGCACGTGCGTCGTGTACCGGCATGCCTCGGGAACAACTGTGCTCAGTTTCCGCTCTGTAGCTAACCTGTACAGTTCTGTTCTGTGCTTTAAAAATGTTTAAGACTATCAACTCACCCTCCGCATGTGAGGTTCGCTCAGTGATACGGTTTTTGTCAGCAAGGAACCTGCCTGCTGCAGAAATTCATTGACAGATTTGTGAAGTGTACGGTGATACTGTTATGAGTGAAAGCAAAGCGCGTAAGTGGGTACGACAATTCCAAGATGGCAACATCCATGATGAGGACCGTTCCGGTCGCCCTTCTTTGATTACAGACGATTTGGTGGCTTCAGTTGAAGCGAGGATTTGTGAGAACAGGTGCTTCACAATAACAGGTCTCTCAAATGAATTCCTGACGTGTTGAGATCAGTGCTTTACAACATTGTTTCTGAACACCTAAAGTTTAGGAAACTGTGCTCCCATTGGGTCCCGAAACTCCTAACAGAGGACCACAAAAACCAAAGATTTGAGTGTGCGATCAAATCAAATCATCGGTAATTAAAGAAGGGCGACCCAGAATATCAAGGAGAAAAATCCTACAATATCTGCTTCAAACTGAGTTATTTGAATCCGCAATGCCATATATTCCAGTTCAAAGCAGAGGCCCCTTCCACACAGCTGAATAAAACCCCACATTTTCAGCTTTGAACCGAGATATATGGCAGTGTGGACTCCGGGCCCTTCCACACAGCCGTATATCCCATTATCTGCTTTGAAATGGGTTATCAGAGTCCACACTCAGATAATGTGGGATTTCTTGTCTTGATATTCTGGGATATAGGGCTGTGTGGAAGGGCCCTCTGATAACCCAGTTCAAAACAGATATTGTGGGATTTCTTGCCTTGATATTCCGGGATATAGGGCTTTGTGGAAGGGCCCTAAATCCACACTGCCAGAAAATCTGGGATAAGTAGATGATCAGGGATCAGATCCTGGGATTTAAGGCAGTGCAGATCCAGCCTTAGGGCACTTCTAGAAAGCCATAGAGCCCAGAATATCAAGGCAGATTATTATTATTATTATTATTATTATTATTATTATTAAACTTTATTTGTACCCCGCTAGCATCTCCCAAAGGATTCAATGCGGCTTACACAGGCCAAGGCCTCAACAACACAACTTAACAATACAATCAAGCAAATCAAACAATTAAAACAATCATTGATTCTGGTAAAGTGCTTGTGGGACTCGGTAGTGGAGATTTCCTAATCTGGGAAGGCACATCGGAAAAGCCAGGTTTTTAAGTTCTTTCTGAAGATAGCCAATGAAGGGGCCTGTCTAAGGTCTTTGGGGAGGGTGTTCCAGAGTTGGGGGGCCACTACGGAAAAGGCCCTGTCCCGCATCCCCACCAAGCGCGCTTGCGACGCCGGTGGGATCACGAGAAGGCCTCTCCAGATGACCGAAGAGAACGCATGGGTTCGTAGATGGAAATGCGGTCACGCAGGTAGGCTGGTCCCAAACCGTTCAGGGCTTTGTAGGTAAGCACCTGCACCTTAAATTGGGCTCGGAATATAAACGGCAGCCAGTGGAGTTCCTTAAACACATTATCTGCTTTGAACTGGGTTAACTGCGTCCACACTGCCATACATTCCAGTTCAAAGCAGATAATGTGGGGTTTTCTGCCTTGATAAGTTTTGAAAAAAGGAAGTTATGCTGCCTCACCCTGTACATGCTCAGAGGCACTCTATTCCCTCCAGATTGGAACTGAAGTTACACCTTCAAAGAGACTTCACTGCCAAATCCTACCTTTTTCTTTGCTTGCACTACAGGACGAATTAGGAACACAGTGGTACGTGTTCTCCTGCGATGTAAGCGAGGGCCCTTCCACACAGCCCCAAATCTGCTTTGAACTGGGTTATCTGAGTCCACACTCTGATAATGTGGGATTTGAAGACTGCTCGGAAACTCCATCTAGTACAGCGGGAGGCAGCCAGACTACTCACCGGGGCGTCATACAGGGAGCATACCATCCCCCTGTTATGTCAGCTCCACTGGCTGCCGATCCAGTTCCGAGCACAATTCAAGGTGCTGGTTTTGACCTACAAAACCCTATACGGTTCCGGCCCAGTGTATCTGTCTGAACGGATCTCCCTCTACGTCCCACCTCGGAGCCTAAGATCCTCTGGGGAGGTCCTACTCTCGACCCCGCCTCTATCACAAGTGAGATTGGCGGGGACGAGGAGCAGGGCCTTCTCGGTGGTGGCCCCCCCTGTGGAATTCACTCCCCGGGGAAATTAGATCTGCAACATCGCTCCTTTCTTTTAGGAAAAAACTAAAAACATGGATCTGGGACCAGGCATTTGGACAAGCGGGCAGATAAAGAAAGAACTTCGATGATGACTAGGAAATGATTAACGGATTGGATCTATGGAACACGAAACGCTGATTATAAGAATGATTTTATAGGATGTTTTATATGATGTATTATGTACTGGCTGTTGACTGTTTTTAATTGTGATAAAAGGAGATTCCATCTGAACATGAGGAAGAACTTCCTGACTGTGAGAGCCGTTCAGCAGTGGAACTCTCTGCCCCGGAGTGTGGTGGAGGCTCCTTCTTTGGAAGCTTTTAAACAGAGGCTGGATGGCCATCTGTCAGGGGTGATTTGAATGCTATATTCCTGCTTCTTGGCAGGGGGTTGGACTGGATGGCCCATGAGGTCTCTTCCAACTCTTTGATGCTATGATTCTAAGAAACTTCACTGCCAAATCCTACCTTTTTCTTTGCTTGCACTAAAGGACGAGTTAGGAACACAGTGGTACGTGTTCTCCTTCGATGTAAGCGAGGGCCCTTCCAGAAAGCTCCAAATCTGCTTTGAACTGGGTTATCTGAGTCCACACTCTGATAATGTGGGATTTTCTGCCTTTATATTTTGGGATACAGGCCTGTGTGGAAGGGCCCCGAGAAGAGTCTTCCGAGAGACCCAAGCTGAGCGCGGCAACAATGCGCATGCGCACCCAAAGCGGCCTGTCAACAGAGGTAACACATTGTTCATTCGTTCAGTCGTCTCCGACTCTTCGTGACCTCATGGACCAGTCCACGCCAGAGCTCCCTGTCGGCCGTCACCACCCTCAGCTCCTTCAAGGTAAGTCCAGTCACTTCAAGGATGCCATCCATCCATCTTGCCCTTGGTCAGCCCCTTTTCCTTTTGCCTTCCACTTTCCCCAGCATAATTGTCTTCTCTAGGCTTTGCTGTCTCCTCATGATGTGGCCAAAGTACTTCAACTTTGTCTCTAGTATCCTTCCCTCCAATGAGCAGTCGGGCTTTATTTCCTGGAGGATGGACTGGTTGGATCTTCTCGCAGTCCAAGGCACTCTCAGAACTTTCCTCCAACACCACAGCTCAAAAGCATCGATCTTCCTTCGCTCAGCCTTCCCTAAGGTCCAGCTCTCACATCCGTAGGTTATTACTGGGAATACCATGGCTTTGACTAGGCGGATCTTTGTTGCCAGTCTGATGTCTCTACTCGTTACTGTTTTATCGAGACTGGACATTGCTCTCCTCCCAAGAAGTAAGCGTCTTCTGATTTCCTGGCCACAGTCTGCATCTGTAGTAATCTTTGCGCCTAGAAATACAAAGTCTGTCACGGCCTCCACAATTTCTCCCTCTATTTTCCAGTTGTCAATCATTCTTGTTGCCATAATCTTGGTTTTTTTTTTATGTTTAGCCATAGAGTCCAGAATATCAAGGCAGATAATCCACATTATCTGCTTTGAAGTGGGTTAACTGCGTCCACACTGCCATATATTCCAGTTCAAAGCAGATGTGGGATTTTCTGCCTTGATAAGTTTTGAAAAAAGGAAGTTATGCTGCCTCACCCTGTACATGCTCAGAGGCACTCTATTCCCTCCAGATTGGAACTGAAGTTACACCTTCAAAGAGACTTCACTGCCAAATCCTACCTTTTTCTTTGCTTGCACTACAGGACGAGTTAGGAACACAGTATTCTCCTGCGATGTAAGCGAGGGCCCTTCCACACAGCCCCAAATCTGCTTTGAACTGGGTTATCTGAGTCCACACTCCGATAATGTGGGATTTTCTGCCTTTATATTTTGGGATATAGGCCTGTGTGGAAGAGTCTTCCGAGAGACCCAAGCTGAGCGCGGCAACAATGCGCATGCGCATCCAAAACGGCCTGTCAACAGAAGTAACACAGAGTGTTACCTTGAGAAGGCCAAGGCCCGACGGGACGCCACCCACCTGAGCCAAGGGCAGCGACGCAGCTCCCGCCTCAGCAGCGCTCTCAGCGCCATGGACAAGCCTCGAAAAGGACCCCAAGAAAGCTGGGCGGCGATTGGGTCCTCTTTCCGCGCAGGCGGCAGCGAGGGCAGCCCTGCGGGGTCCTCTTTCCTCTGTTGCTTTCTCTGCGCACGCGCAGGACGGTGGCTGGGCCAGTCGGGCGGTCCGTGAGGCAGCTCGCGGGGTGGCTCGCGCTCGGTCGGTTTGTTTGTTTCCCTGTCAGCGAAGGCCGGGGGCGCGTGAGGGGAGCCTTGAAGGAAGGAGCGCGCTCTCGGCAGTCGCGAGCGAGAGAGAGCGCGACTGACTGACTGAAAGAAGGAAGGAAGGAGTGAAGGCGGCAGGCGGAAGCCATGGCGGACGTCCTGAGCGTGCTGCGCCAGTACAACACGCAGAAGAAGGAGATCGTGGTGAAAGGGGACGAGGTGATCTTCGGCGAGTTCTCCTGGCCCAAGAACGTCAAGACCAACTATGTCATCTGGGGGTGAGTCGGAGGGAGGGAGGGGCGGGCCAGGAGGAGGAGGAAGGGGAGGGTGCCTCGCCAGGTGCCTTCAGTAGAGAAAAGGGACTGCCACACTGCGGGATGGATGCAGTTCGACACCACTTTAGCAGCCATGGAGTTGAACCTCCCTAACTTTCTCTGCCAAAGAGTGCAGGGGGCCTCATCATCATCATCATCATCATCATCAACAACAATATATTTATTTACTCAATTCTTGTGGGTTTTTTCGGGCTATATGGCCATGTTCTAGAGGCATTTCTCCTGACGTTTCGCCTGCATCTATGGCAAGCATCCTCAGAGGTGAGGTCTGCTGGAATTGGGAAAAAAAGGGGTTTATATATCTGTGGAATGACCAGGGTGAGACAAAGGGCTTTTGTCTGCTGGAGCTAGGTGTGAATGTATTGTCGAAGGCTTTCATGGCTGGAATCACTAGGTTCTTGTGGGTTTTTTCGGGCTATATGGCCATGTTCTAGAGGCATTTTCTCCTGACGTTTCGCATGCATTCCAACTACCTCTGAGGATGCTTGCCATAGATGCAGGCGAAACGTCAGGAAAAATGCCTCTAGAACATGGCCATATAGCCCGAAAAAACCCACAAGAACCTAGGTGTGAATGTTTCAGCTGACCACCTTGATTAGCATACAATGGGCTGATTGTGCCTGGAGCAAACTTTTGTTGAGAGGTAATTAGATGTCCCTGCATCTATGGCAAGCATCCTCAGAGGTGAGGTCTGCTGGAGCTGGGAAAAGGGGGTTTATATATCTGTGGAATGACCAGGGTGAGACAAAGGGCTTTTGTAAGTTGGGCTAGGTGTGAATCTTTCAACTGACCACCTTGATTAGCATACAATGGGCTGACTGTGCCTGGAGCAAACTCTTCTTGAAAGGTGATTAGATGTCCCTGCCTGTTTTTCTCTCTGCTGTTTTTGCTGTTGCAATTTTAGAATTTTTTAATACTGGTAGCCAGATTTTGTTCATTTTCATGGTTTCTTCCTTTCTGTTGAAATTGTCCACATGTTTGTGGATTTCAATGGCTTCTCTGTGTAGTCTGACATGGTGGTTGTGAGAGTGGTCCAGCATTTTTGTGTTCTCAAATAAAATGCTGTGTCCAGGTTGGTTCATCAGGTGCTCTGCTATGGCTGATTTCTCTGGTTGGAGTAGTCTGCAGTGCCTTTCATGTTCCTGGTTTCTTGTCTGCATCTGCATTTCTGTTGAAATTGTCCACATGCTTGTGGATTTCAATGGCTTCTCTGTGTAGTCTGACATGGTGGTTGTGAGAGTGGTCCAGCATTTCTGTGTTCTCAAATAATATGCTGTGTCCAGGCTGGTTCATCAGGTGCTCTGCTATGGCTGATTTCTCTGGATGAAGTAGTCTGCAGTGCCTTTCATGTTCCTTGATTCGTGTTTGGGCGCTGCGTTTGGTGGTCCCTATGTAGACTTGTCCACAGCTGCATGGTATATGGTAGACTCCTGCAGAGGTGAGAGGATCCCTCTTGTCCTTTGCTGAACGTAGCATTTGTTGGATTTTCTTGGTGGGTTTGTAGATTGTTTGTATGTTGTGTTTCCTCATCAGCTTCCCTATGCGGTCAGTGGTTCCCTTGATGTATGGCAGGAACACTTTTCCTCTGGGTGGATCTTCATCTTGACTCTCGTGGCTTGTTCTTGGTCTTGCAGCTCTTCTGATGTCTGAGGTGGAATATCCATTGGCCTGTAGAGCCCAGTTGAGGTGGTTCAGTTCATCATCAAAAAATTCTAAAATTGCAACAGCAAAAACAGCAGAGAGAAAAACAGGCAGGGACATCTAATCACCTTTCAAGAAGAGTTTGCTCCAGGCACTGTCAGCCCATTGTATGCTAATCAAGGTGGTCAGTTGAAAGATTCACACCTAGCCCAACTTACAAAAGCCCTTTGTCTCACCCTGGTCATTCCACAGATATATAAACCCCTTTTTCCCAATTCCAGCAGACCTCACCTCTGAGGATGCTTGCCATAGATGCAGGCGAAACGTCAGGAGAAATGCCTCTAGAACATGGCCATATAGCCCGAAAAAACCCACAAGAACTGAGTGATTCCAGTCATGAAAGCCTTCGACAATATATTTATTTACTAGCTGTCCCCTGCCACGCATTGCTGTGGCTCAGTTTGTTGATCTGGAAAATAAATTATTATTATTATTATTATTATTATTATTATTATTATTAAACTTTATTTGTACCCCACTAGCATCTCCCGAAGGACTCGATGCGGCTTACAAAGGCCAAGGCCTCAATACACAACATACAATACACTTAAAGCAAATTAAAAACAATTAAAGCAGTATTAAACAACAAGAACCACAAGCAATAAACAATACATCAAACAAGATAAAACTGGGCCGGGCCAGAGTAAAGGGTACAAGATTAAAAGTGCTGATGTGACAGGTGATATGTAAGGATTATAGGCATGTGCAGTGTGCAGCAGTCTTAATTCTAATAAAGTGTGTTTGGGACTTGGTATTGGAGATTTCCTAATCGGGAAAGGCACATCGGAACAGCCAGGTCTTCAAGTTCTTTCTGAAGACTGCCAATGTAGGAGCCTGTCTAAGATCTTTGGGGAGAGTGTTCCAGAGACGGGGGGCCACCATGGAAAAGGCCCTGTCTCGTGTCCCCACCAAACGTGCTTGCGACGCCGGCGGGATCATGAGCAGGGCCTCTCCAGATGAACGTAGTGAGTGCGTGGGTTCATAGATGGAGATGCGGTCACGCAGGTAGGCTGGCCCCAAACCGTTCAGGGCTTTGTAGGTAAGCACCTGCGCTTTAAATTGGGCTCGGAAGATAAACGGCAGCCAGTGGAGCTCCTTGAACAGGAGGGTTGACCTCTCTCTGTAGGGAGCACCAGTTAACATCCTGGCCACTGCTCGTTGGACAAGTTGGAATTTCCGAGCCGTTCTCAAGGGCAGCCCCACGTAGAGCGCATTACAGTAATCCAATCTATAGGTGACCAAGGCATGGACCACTCCGGCCAGATCAGCCTTCGCGAGGTACGGTCGCAGTTGGTGCACGAATCTTAGTTGTGCAAAAGCCCTCCCCGACACCGCCGACGCCTGAGCCTCAAATGTGAGCGATGAATCAAGGAGGACTCCTAAACTGCAGACCTGTGGTTTCAGGGGGAGTGCAACCCCGTCCAACATAGGTTGCCACCCTATACCCCGGTCAGGTTTACGATCGACCAGGAGGACCTCTGTCTTGTCGGGATTGATCTTCAGCTTGTTCTTCCTCATCCAGATAGACACAGCAGCCAGGCACTCCAGCACCCGAGAGGCCTCCTTGGAATTGGGTGGAAATTAGTAGTAGAGTTGTGTGTCATCTGCGTAGAGATGGCACCCAACTCCAAAACTCCGGATGACCTCTCCCAGCGGTTTCATGTAGATGTTTAAAAGCATAGGAGACAGAATGGAGCCTTGCGGGACCACCCTATAAAGTAATGAGAAAGTGTTGGTTTCTAATATATGTAATTTCTTTATGCTTGTGGGTAAACAGTATTTCTTGCTGTTTCTTTGTTGATGTGGAGATTGGTTTGCCTACTCTGGAACATGCAACATATCATCATCATCATCATCATCATCATCATTTAATAACTTATTAATCGCCCTCCACCCGAGAATGCTATAATTGTTCTTCTTTAGGGGTCCCTTTCAAATCTATGATACTATGTGTGTGTGTGAATCATATATATCTATGGCTGGATGGCTCTTTGTCAGGAGGGCTTTGATTACATTTTCTTGCCCAGGTGAAGAGAGTTGGACTGGATGGCCTTAAGTATTTTCTGTTGTTCATGGGGGTTCTGTGTGGGAAGTTTGGCCCAATTCTGTTGTTGGTGAGGTTCAGAACACTCTTTGATTGTAGGTGTCAACGTCTATTTTCCCCCAAACTCCATCGGTGTACATATTTGGTCCAGATCCATAATTGTTTGAGTCCACAGTGCTCTCTGGATGTAGGTGAACTACAACTCCCAAACTCAAGGTCAATGCCCACCAAACCCTTCTAGTGTTTTCTGTTGGTCATGGGAGTCCTTTATGCCCCGATTGGTTCAATTCTATCATGCTATTTGATTGTAGGAGAACTATAAATCCAAGCAACTACAACTCCCTATCTATCTATCAACCAATATCTATGGATGGATGGCTCTTTGTCAGGAGGACTTCGATTACGTTTTCTTGCCCTGAGGAAGGGAGTTGGATTGGATGGCCTTAAGTATTTTCTGTTGGTCATGGGGGTTCTGTGTGGGAAGTTTGCCCCGATTCTGTCGTTCGTGGGGTTCAGAATGCTCTTTGATGGTAGGTTAATTGTGAATCCCGGTGACTACAGCTCCCAAATGTCAAGGTCTATTTCGCCCAATCTCCATCTGTGTTCATATTTGGGCATATTGAGTGCTTGTGCCAAGTTTGGTCCAGATCCATCATTGTTTGAGTCCTCAGTGCTCCCTGGATGTAGGTGAAGTACAACTCTCAAACTCAAGGTCAATGCCCAATAAACCCTTCCAATATTTTCTGTTGGTCATGGGAGTTCTGTGTGCCAAGTTTGGTTCATTTCCATTATTGATGGAGTTCAGAATGCTCTTTGATTGTAGGTGAACTATAAATCCCAGCAACTACAACTCCCAAATGACAAAATCATAATTTTTGAGTGATGGTCACTCCTTGTGTTGTGAGGTGTTTTGTTGCCAAATTTGGTGTGATTTCGTTCATTAGTTCTTTTGTTTTTAAGGCACTCATTATGACCAGAGCATTTTTATATATATAGATAGATTTATTTATTTATTATGTCAGAAGATAATTGAGAATACAGTTATGATGTATAAAAAACCCACAAACAAAGTTAAAAACTTAGCATTAGACTAGATTTCCTTTGACCAGAAGCTGGCCACTTGGAGTGCCTCTGGTGTCTTTGTGAGAAGGTCCTCCATTGTGCATGTGGCAGGGTTCAGGTTGTATTGTAGTAAGTG